CATATTGTATCAGTCTTTACTAATGTACGATAATTTATTTGTATAGTTATGTTTTCTATTATGATGGTTTATCATAAATCGTGCAGCTGTTTCGTAGATATAGGTCACTAAGTACGCTTAAATTGAGCTAATTTATTTATTAGTAATTATTGGAAGAGTACAATTTTGTTTTAAAGTCTCTACAAATGTAATGAATACTGTATATACGGTGCTGTATCATTTATATTTATTTGTTTTATGTAGAAAATTATGTAAGTCTTGTTTAATATTTTTCTTCAGTGTTGTATTTATTTTTATTTGTATAGAACAAAAGTTTATACTGTTTCAGCGATGATGTAATATCTAGGAAAAATCAAAAACTTTTCGTAAATATGGTTAGTTTTGGCTTAGTTCGAAACATCTGTTAATTAATTGAAAGTAATATTAACATTTTGTTTTATTGAAAGTCCAGACGAATCTGATATGTTTAATAAAAACTTGCTTCAATTGAAATGTGCACATTTTAATTGACTTTGACTCAAGTAAATTGTTTCGAATTGATCTAATGACGAAGTAAAATGTTCTGTGGGTTCAAACTAGTGCAATGTGAAGAATGTTTGATGTTTGCTAATGATCTATTCTATAGTAACTGTATACACTACATTCGCTACGCCAAAGTCATCAAGTCAATTACGTTGACTACACTATTTCGAGGCTGTACAACTTAATGGTAGCTTAATATTTATATGTGAACCTGTAGTCTAGTTTATACCTAGATACTAGTTGGTGTAAAATTTGCTATTTTTCATCCATTTCATCTTTTTCCATTAGATACTGTGTTCTTACAATGACTTTGTAACATTTTATCGTTAATTCACGCACAAATTATTTTCTATTTAATAAGTACGTAATAATTTTAAGTAAGCAGAGAATTTTACTTGCCGAATTAGGTTATTTATGAATTAATTTCAACTTTTATCTGTTAGGTAAAAGTTCGAATCTCACAGGAATATTGTTTAAACGATGTTTTCGTCTTTAGCATAAGAGGAATATGATTTTGATCTTGATTTCGTCATGAATTCTTACTTACATATCCATAAGCATTTTACGAAAACTAAATTAAGCACTCGCTGTGAACTCTATGCCTTTATGTGTATAGCTAAAGTGTACAAAACGTTTACTATGTAGGTCAGTGGTACTCAACTCGTGTTTTAAAAGACATCTTCGGAATCTTTTTTTAATTTTCCTTGTGGATTGCTGCTATGAAATCTTCTCAATGTTGAGTATCGCTGGATTAGATGGTAGTATTGTATTTTATCAAACTTACACGATGCAAGTTGATTGGAGACGCCGCGAATGACCAAACAAAGTTGCTTTTGTATGAGAAGTAGTTATTGGTTAGGTAGCTAGCTGGACATTATCGGTTATCGGTCTATAGTCCGTAACACCCGATATGATTCAGCCCGTGAAGTGGAAAATTAGAAGTGGAATTTTTATTTTCAACAAATAATAACAAGTCGTGACTATCGGTCAATGACCCACTCATATTAAGAGCTGTCTCAATATTTACCATGCTCCTATCACATTAATCTGTTAGCCGTTCATAATACGGCGTAAATTAACTAAATATCAACACACAGATTACACAAGGTGGAGAGAATTTTTTTTTATTAATTTTAAATCATTTTCAATTGTCGCTGGTGTCTCCTCATCTTGTAGTGTTATTCTAATGCGGGCGCCATATTTGACATAATTGGACAAAGAACTTTGTACCTATTGGTATAAAGTTTAATATTAGGTATTTAGGTATACGTCAAGTATAGCACCAGCGTAAAGCGCAAACAACGCATCTCTTTACTAAACTGCCTTATAATCTTCCTCGTCTTATACACATCGAATTTCAACGTTTTTGAGGCCTATTCGGTGTTTCGGTGTTAAAATTCTAAAAAGATAAAATTGGTGTGTATATTTTTTATTCTATGTTACTATGTTTTGCCTCGAAAAATGTCCAAAACTTAAATGTTGTCTGTTAAGCCAATTTTCTCTTTTCGACTTTGATCACAAAATCATACACCATCATTATTTTTATCATGTAAAATGGTTTTACTATAATAATGATTACTATCATATCTAAAACGTCTGTGTTTGTCAATTACATGTGTCTATTTCGTAACTTCTTCAAGGCATTTTCCTAAAACATTGTGCCCTTTTTGAAGATATAACAAAAGTTTACAAAAAATACAACTTTTTATCATCAGTCTTCTCATAACATGTTTTAAAGACCCTTTTCTTGTCACGCGTATTTTAGCCCGCACGCGGGTCTCGCCTGCATGCGGACTGCTCGCGTTCCTATCGTTTGATATATGTTTTTCCTAACATGCGGGCGGAACGCGAATTGGCTGCGGGCGAGCAGTCCGCGTGCGTGCTATCCGAAAGCGGGCGGTGTCTGCCTTTAGTGTTGTTTGCAAATAATCACAGGAATAAAAATTGACTCAGATCTACTCCGAATTAGAATTTATCTATAAATGTAATGGCGTGCAAATATATAATAAATTATTGACATCACACCGAATTGATTTTCATATTTGAATATGATATAGGTATAGACGGTAATTATTTTTTTAACGTTCTTGTTTGTCCACGAGTTTACCCACTGACGACATGCACAACACTGCAGCAGCAAACGAAATCTTTGTCCTGCTTGTGGCTCGGGACCCGCATGCGGACGAGACCTGCGTGCAGACTAAAATACGCGTGACAGGAAAAAGGCCCTTATTGTTTAATATGTACGCACATATTGTAATGACAAATAATGCTGTGTGTTTCTCCTCAACATAATGCGGGTACTTAACTACAAACAGCAAACATTTTCAAAACTACCCTCCTATTCGTGTAGTATTTTAGTATGTCAATTATAACAGTAGATTATTAATTTTATCTATGAGATTTCTTCAGCGTAATCATAATGTAATGTCTTATTTATACGCGTTTGTATTGAATATACCATCACAATATTCGCAATTAACTTCAAATATATATAAATAGAAACTCTACTGCAGCAACCTAGTCTATGACTTTGTATTAATGTACTACGTAATCCCTATGACCTGCCTACTATGTAAAAGTGATAAGGTCTAAAGTATTTATTAATGTATTTCATTTAGATCTCTGATTGATATCGTAACATTGTGATCGTCAACGTAGCTATAGCTTTCTTTACTATATGGGCTGTAAATAGTACACGTTTACTGTAGTATTTATTTACGTCTTTATACATATGATTAATTTAAAAAATAATACGTAGAATTCACGCCATCGAATACTAGACCTTGTATTGAAATCAGACTTAAAAATGTATCCACTTCCCTTAAGCACATGTAATAAATTTTTATCTTTATATCTCCTGAAAACTATTTAATCTCTTATAACTGCTGTAAGAATAGTAATGGTTGGATCTAGTGCTGTTCTAAATCGATTAATCGTTTATGCTAAGACATAATTCAGTCTTAATCGTTTAGCCCAACACTAGTATTTGTGTAATAGTTGTGTTACTGGTGAAAAAAATATTGTGTGTGTTTGAACCTGTATTGGTACGTAAAAAAGACAAAAATAGACATTGTTTGCACTGACATTGGGCTGACATAGCATTGAAAACAATTATAATTAAGTATTCCTTATATTCTTTCCATGCTAGCAGTTTCTTATACCAAAGCTAGCGCCATTGAATGACAGTGACACAGTAACTGTTTGGTGTTCCAGAAGTACCTAGTACGTTGTTAATACTTTTTGGCTTTAATGAAGTAGCTACATCAAAAGTGCACCTCTTGGTTCGTTGTTTTAAACTGAATCTATAAATGAAGTAAAATAATAATTCAAATGTGATGGAAAATTTAAAAATCAATACAAAGTTTTGAAATACATCTGAGAACTCATTGACTTATTAAGTGTTACTTTGTTGGCCCAAACAGAAATAAGCTATGTAATAATACCCAACATATAGTTTGTATACTTATACATATATTGTGTAGTAATTTATCAGGATGTTTAATTCACTATATGTAATATGTAATGGTGCAATTTGAATCCGTATGATCAACATAGTTATCGGGAAAATAGAATTAATGAATTTGTATCGTTTTGTATCTAGTTTGCTGTTTAGCAAACCAAGATAAAAATAAAAATGTAAAATGATGATGTTAATTTCATTTCTCCATTATTATTAACAATTTAAACTTAAACTGTCACACACCGCGAGGACACCGCAACCTATTGTTCTTTGTGTCTATAATGACGGTACTAAGGGTTAAACCCATTGGCCACAACTTTGAGGTTTTAAATCACATACCTACCTACAGTAGTTTTTACCCTATTTACTTATTTAAATAAATGTGTTCAGTTAAATACCTAGTTATATCTGAAATGGCTGGACCGATTTTGTCGGTACTTTGATTGGCAGGTAGCTGTCTAGCTGATGTACTAAGGAGAAGAGAGTAACCTATGCTACTTTAACTACTGCTTCAGCTAGTTACAAACATTTTGAATTCGAAATCGAATTGTAAATAATTAAAATTACCTAAGTACTTTATAAAAATTTCAAAATACGCGGTACGTCCAGTTCTAGTAATGGCGGCCGAGCTGTCAAACGTCATCAATCGTTTTCCGTTTTTCAACGTCCTTTGTTTTCTGGTATAGTTTATTTATCATAGAATAGTTGATATCTCTTATTTACTTTTAAATATTTTAATAGTTATAATTAAATTATCTTTATTAGTGAGGTATTTACTAATCTAAAATTGGTTTTTTTATTGGATAATGTTGCTATGACAAAAAAAAATGAAATTGACAATGACAGATAAGGTAGGTTGCCAAAAACTAAAATAAAACTGATAACGCTTTTGTATAATTTCATGCGTACTCGACGTAAATCAGCCATTCAATCAGTTGTGATCAGATTATTTAATTATTTTTTTTATTTGCAGAATTTGATACATATTTATTTTTTATATTTTTCTGTGGTGTAAATTTTTTACTATAAATGGGATTGCAATGCTAAATGCTGGCAACTTTTATTAAGTCAGAATTTATTCACGTACGGATGTCGACAGAGAAAGTGAATTGGAAGTTTACGATTTTCGCGATTATTAAGTTTAAACAGTGAAATGAGTATTTCTGTATTGTGAGAAATGCTCTTATTTTCGTCTAAAGATTTAAGTGTGTGCCGGTTAAGTGCTTGTTATTTGGCTATAAAATGTTTGAAAGTCGGGGCGACTGACACATCGGTACTCGCATGTTTAAAGTAATTTTTAGGTGTGTTTTGTTGAATTAGTGTACAGGATGCCGAGGGGAGAGAACAGGCCGAGCATCCTGTTGTCTCGGGAAGAGAATGACCAGGTGTTCAGTTTGATTGGACCAAAATGCCAGGTGAGTAAGCTTTGAATTCTCATTAGTGATCCGCGTGATTCAGAATGCCCTTAGATTACGTATCTCTGCCCATATCAGTGGATTATCTGTCGATATCTTTACGGTATTATTGTGAGTTCCGAAAATTATATGTATGACAAAGGTGTTTATCAGAAATTGACTATCAATGATGAAAATAATCCTCTTGGCTACCTGTTGGGTCTATTTTGAGATTTATTTTTATTGTACTTGTGAAATTTCTACTATAAAATCACTAGCATACCATAGTTACTTTATAGATTTTGAGTTATAAATGAGTAACTGAGGACTAATTTACTAAATACAAGTTGTAAAGTACCTATTTTTTTGTATTAAACCGTAAACAGGTTACACAAAGTAAAACCTTATATCTGATAAGCATCTTGATATCTTTGGGATAGTACTTGAAACTTAGTTAAGAGGCCTACAAAGCTCCTTCAGCAACAGTGTAATTTAAAATAACTTTCAAAGTACTCATAATTATTGTTATCTTCAGATTACACGACACACACTAAATAATTGTTTTCCTACAAAAGACTATGTAAGATAACAATATAATATTTCCCACAAAAATAAAATTTCAGGGATGTTTATTTAAGCAAGTAAGTTCTTACAAAACAGTGTGATATTATTATGAAGAAGAAAATGAACTTGTTTCTTGCTTGCTTTCTTTACTCTTAAAATAGTATTTTTTTTACAAAACCATATCATTTGAATGTAAATGTAACAATTAAACTATGTCTTAATAACAAATCATCTGTAATGTTACAGAATACCATTAGAACTTCCAATTTAGAAGGCATTCTGTGTAGGAAAGAAATTAAACCAATACTGACAAAGTCATGGCACTCCGTAATATGAAAGTAGCAGTTTATTATTAATGAAGTAATATATTTGCATAACATACATAATCACAACATTTCTGTTAACTGGACCAATCTAATATTGCTGAATATTAAGTAGTCTATGTTATGCATGTTAATTATGATCTACTTCTTCCCTTTCTTATTCTTTGAGGTCATAAGTTACTGTTTTAGGTTAAATTTCCTGGTAGCACAAAGTATTATTGTGTTTTTTCACTTGATATTCTGAGTATTTCATAATTTTTGTTCTTTTGCATGTACTGCAAGTTGGTACTGTATTTTTGTTGTGTTTACAAACACATTTCAGACCATGCATCTTATAGGGTGTGTAACAATGTATTCTATCATCGTACAAAGTGAGCATTGCTCTTTAATTTCTTTTTATGAAATTTTAAAATGGAATCCAAGTACCTAGTAATTTTTTTGTTCAACCCTAGGTAGTAACCCTAGTACATGTTTATAAACATTTTATTTATTAAAATATTTCACCTAAGTTGGGTTCTTAAACTGTAAGTTTGACTGTGTAGCTATCATTGTTGCTGGGCTACTGACTGTGCTGGTCAATTCTTCTGACTTCAACAAATTATTCATTGAGTCTGAGTGTGATGTGTTCAAACACACCCACAATGTGGGAGAAATTGCTAGAGTGGGGCAACATTTCTTTTAAAACCTAAAAAGTATTTATTATTCAACTATGCAAATATTCTATTCTTACAAAACCTGAATTTTATCTAGGTCTCATTGACTTATGAGGAAATTAAATTCGCCTTTCATCTTACATAATGGACGACGTCATTAATTATTTTTGCGAATATTGATAAGAACTGGTTTTATCGCTAATATTAATCACTTTAAAAGAGTGTTACATAGGCTCCATTTCTGCAGAACATAATGTCACACTTTTTTCCTTAAGACTTTGTAAAGACGCATTCATTAAAATGTAACTTCCACTTTCGCGCCCGCCAATCGTGGAGATTATGGATTTATGGCAAACACGTTTATGTAGAGCAGTGAACTGTCAGCTTCACAAGCTGTTCATGATTTTTTTTTATGAGATAAACGATCTTTCGGATCGAACGGTAAACGATCTTACGGATCACCTGAAACACCAGAGGCGTTACAAGTGCATATTTGAGGATTATGGGAGATTCGGAAATTGGGGAGACTAAACATGATGATGAAGACTAAATATGGTGTCTACTTTCGGGAATAGGCAAATGGTTTGCTTTTGCTCGGAAATTTCGTTAACTGAAACACATAAAGCACGTAGTTTACACAACATACCATAACAGTGCTGATCAGTATAATTTCCATAAATGAATATTTATGAGTCATTTCATCTTATAACATCAACAAGTTCCACCTCACGGTTTCACTCGTGTGTTCCATTCACGTGTTTAAGTGTCACAACTCGATATAATTTTACCATTTAGCCGGTACGATATCAATGTCGATTAGGTATTCATATCTTCATTACAAAATCGTGTAAAATAAAACAATTCAACTCATACTTTTTTTTCCCTAGGACAAATCTAAAATTACTGGACGCATTATAAAATTAAATCATTATCGCAGTTTAAAACATTCAGGTTTATTGTAGAATGCGCTGCTGCTATCTGTCAGATGTGAACTTTTTAACGGCCAGCTTCAATAATAATATAGCTGTAGATTTGCTTACTAGGAGATAGAATTCTAATAAATAGAGCTTAATCGGCTCTTACGACAGCAACGGGAAGAGTAGAGGAGGTATTGAAAACATTTCGCTGTTCTGTGGAAAGCTAAGATTGTAATCACTTTGTTGCAACTTGAAAGACCACAATTTTATGGTAACAAACAACTATAATTTCACTCCATAAAACATTTATAGGGCGAAAGTTAATCTAGGCGCCGTATAAATGGTTCTGCCAGTTAGAAAGCATGCTTGATCGGTCCGTCTTTCGTAACTTGTAAGGATTTATGGTTTGGTGACCATAGAAAATGACTTGCGCATTGCACGGCAGAAGTCCTGCAATTTTTATGTGGTGCTTAGCACTTATCTCACATTATTCGTAAACATTTCATACAAGGGAATGATTCAATGTCCGAGCAGGTATTGATAAATTATTCCTCATAAGTATTACTTGGCCCATCGAAGAAAACCTTATGAAACGTAGTTTTAAGTGAAGAAGGATATTCACGGTCCTTTATACATATTTCTTTCATCCGCCCTCTCCGTTTACTAATACAGATTAGAGTACTCTGTCTTTCTAGCTCATACCAATTTCATCTAAATCCATTCAGTGTTTTTTGCGTAATAGAGTACCTAACAAACATTGACATAATCGTTCGTTTTTTTACTGCAAATTAGTAGTTAGGATGCGTACCGATACTGCCAAATCTGTATATTATGTATGCATATTAATAGAAAAAATGTAAAATACCCCATGACGTTATGGGTTCTACATTTCGATGGCTACGTTATTATTTTACCTCGATGCCATCAGGCAGGTAAATTTTCTGATTGCGAAGTGGATAAGGAAATTGAAAATATTATATTATGGTTCTGTATGTAGTTACACAGTATTTATAATACTTCAACTTTTACTGAAATCAATGAAAATCTTGTCGTTTTCTTACATGCCCTTGTATGTGAACTTGTATGTTTGTTAATGCTCCTACAACATGAGAAGATCTTACATTGGGGCACCGTTTTTTTTTTAAACCAAAGGAAAAAGAGATTTCTGTTAGATTTTTATCTTACACCACCTATGTTCTCTCATCGTAAAAGAAGAATAATTGATTTATCATGAGGTGCGTTCATCTGAAAGCAGACTCCATGGTATCTTATAATGATGTAATTAAAAAACCTTCACTAAATTGATTTTATTAAACGAAAGCTTTTGGAATTACTACCACTCAATCATCGACGTACGGTAGGTACGTTAAAACAATTACAATTAGAAATTTAATTTGTACTTAGTTACTGAAATATTTCTTTCCCTTGGTGTTATCGCAAGAATTCCGGAATAACATTTACTATCAGGCCATTGTGTATGTGAATTATCTAGGTACGACCTCGAAACTCACGAGATTGAAATAATCCTGCACTTCTATTCTGCGTATCGTTTACGAATTGCCACCAGTTATCAGCGTTTATCTCAATGAAGAATGAGCAAAATAACCACGATTTGTGTTTATCTGTTGTATATTTATTTTTCTATCTTTAAAATATTTTTTACCTAAATGGGTGTTCCAAAGTTATCAATCAGATCGGCACGTGTAACAAAACGTATCTGACAGCAGTATTTTTTTGCTCGTGTTGTGCCAAAAGCTATGATATCGATTCATTTGGACGAATCGTCATTATTGTTTTAATACAGTTTTACAGTTATTTTCCTGTACCATGGGTTATAGACACAAACATTACCTGTGTTGTTCTGACAGGAAACAGTTGACAGAAAAGCTGTTATAGGTGTGCATTGTGCATTGCAAGTATTGTGTCGAGATCGAGACAAGCTGACAACAACTTCCGTACTAGACCATATAGAATGTTTTACCTAGAGGTATAAGTTGTACAGAACAAAATTTTAGGCATTGCGAACTACCGAACGGATGTACTTATAGTAAAATTTTCTTTAGGTTTTATTCATTGTATACATTTTGTATATTTGCTCCGCTTCAAAGAAAAAATGCCAAAAACGCCACATTCCCGCGTAATGTTATAAAGTAATCGTGCGAAGACGCGCGAAAATCGCGAGCATAATCATAAATTAGTAAAACATATTACAATGCTACACTTGTCGACGGTTAGTGTTATCATTATTAGATATTATTATATTAATTGATGTAGGTTTTATTAATGTAAACAACATATTTTATTGCCCTTATCTTTACGAATTAGGTACATTATTGTTTGTGTAAACTGGCTATGACTAATTGACTAGTCAAGAGGTCACTTGGACGTGCTAAGCAAAAACTATTAAATTCTATAATCGCCCAAATAAAAATAACTTATATTTCGTTTTGTAATTTATAAATAATCTATGACTACAAATGTGCACTTTTGTATAGGATCGCGCGAGCGACTGCTTGACGCAGTTTCAGACCTAAGATTGCATTATTATAAAACTAGCTTTTACCCGCGGCTTCGCTCGCGTCACAAAAGGATACAAAGTAGCCTATGTGACATATACCAATACACAGAGCGCCATCTATACCAATAATTTCGTTTTTCCTCGAGAATATCAAAGTATTCCGGGATAAAAAGTACCCTATTATTTAATCCAGACTTCTAACTTCACGTCTGCAAAAATTCAAAGCAATCGGTTTAGTAGTTACGGCGTGAAAGTGGAACAAACAAACAAACTCACTCTCCGATTTATAATATTAGTAAGGACTATTACCTATATCAAAGTATTCTCTTTGACTGCATTTAGGTGTTGCATTGTTCTCCCACAATCGAACCAACAAAACTATGTAACTAGAGAATTGTATTGTAAACCCGATTGAAAATGAGTAACCAATGGAGTTTCTTGCTCGTTCTTCTCCATAGGAATTTACACCTTGGAATGAGCAACTAGCTTCACTTCTAAATTTTTTTGTTGTTGACGTTCAAAAGTGCCTTCCTTGTCTAATTGAAATAAATGATTTTGACTTTATTGTTAACTAAACCTGTAGTAACATTAGTTACTTCTTTCATTTCTGACTGGTTACGGTGCAGATTTTTTTCGCAGTACGCCGAATAGTACACAGATAAATTTCACATTGCGTGATCCCCATAACTGCGCTCCTAATTTACCCGTCTGACCTCTGCAACTCTGAGGACACACAGGCTATTGCAAATACAAGACATACTTACATACCTTGCCTATTGTCTACACTTCTCATGTGCAGTTAAGTAAAAAACAATACAATGTCACGTCTTAAACAGTATAATTATTGTGTGATTAATTAACAAAAAATTCAAGTAATGTTCTTAAAGTTTGCTAAGTAGGTCATTGTTGTGATTACGTTTTGCTACTTGATATTAACGTTGTATATTTTTGTATGCTACCAGGGAACTTTATGCTGTCTAGTAATTAGTAACTAGTACCGAATACTAGTTTTTCTTTTCTTCACTAGGTACATAGTATAAAACAAAGTCGCTTTCTCTGTCACTATGTTCCTTTGTATGCTTAAATCTTTGAAACTACGCAACGGATTTTGATGCGGTTTTTTTTAAATAGATAAGAGTGATTCAAGAGGAAGGTAATAATACATACATATTGCACCCGTGCGAAGCCGGGGCGGGTCGCTAGTGAGGAATAAGCCAGTAAACGAGTAGACGTATGACCTGACGGTAAGCAATCGGCGTCGCCCATAAAAACCTGGAACACCAGAGGCGTTACAAGTGCATTACCGGCCTTTCGGGCATTAGGAATTTGACAGTTGTTGGGGATTCAGGGGTTAGGGAGATTGGGGAAGGGGGGAAGGGGTTATTGGGCCTTCGATAACCTCACTCACATAACGAAACACAACGCGTTATATCACGTCGGTTTTCTGTGAGGCCGTGGTATCACTCTGGTCGAGCCGGCCCGTTCGTGCCGAAGCATGGCTCTCCCACACTTAAAAGTTCAACAATTTACGTTAGTCTGGAAACTATAATAGGGAAAATGTACAAATAGTGTTCAAAGTTTCGTTTTGCACGTCTCGCTTAGTATTACGTCAAATTACGTGTTCCGAAATCGCAGTGAGAATGAGAACATTAAGATCACTGTGATGTACGCAATCGGAATTTTGAACTAGCTAATGTAATGGTAGCAAGACGTATGTAGACTGTAGAATTGGCTGATGATGTTCCATCGATGACTTTCTTGCATTGATAACCAGAACCAGAAGTTTTTTGCAGTGATACTTGGTTTATTTCTGAGATCTGAGTTAAGACATAATGGATATTGTAAAAGTTGCTGGTTTAAGGAATATAACCTATCTCAATTCTCAATCCAAAATGTTTGGATCGATTTAAGTTTTTGACAGAAACTCAATAGAACTAATGTCAAAAACTACTACAATCCAAAGATTTTAGTTTAAGATCTCATTGTATAGAACCGATAATTTTCTATTCTGTGTGTCACATAAAATTTTATGTGAAACAAAAAATGTATTATTCGCATGCCATCGCTTAATATAATAAGCCACGCTATCCTTCGCTTACTTTGTTCGTTCATCGTACTATTGTACCATAAATATAAATCAGATTTTCTACAACAACGGGCACTTGGGTTATCAGTTAATCACGGGTCACTACTCTACATGTGTCATATTCTTATAAAGGTCAGCTATTCACAGATTTCACTCAAGCGTCCGCTAATGACGCTTACGCATAATTATACGCAACGATGCGTCATGCAAGGGCGCGGACACTCATAGCATAGCTGTGATAATTAATTATATTATTTAATCGACATTACATATTTTCATTTAGATAGTAAACTAATGAATGACCTTTTGCTATTCAATTGTACCTATTCTGATAAGTTCTTGTGCACTACGATATGCATGCAGTGAGTAATTCATCAACAATAATATTATTCTTCGAATGATACCTGTTTCCTATAGATTTACTTGATTATCAATAATAAGATCAATAAGCATAAAACTTCTTATCTCAACTGAGTTTTTGTACCTATATTATTTATTTGGACATCAAACTATTTCTAACAGACGCAGATGTACTCCAATCTGTTTCGTCATTCGACATCAGACTTTATATCAAAATAATAAAGTTCTTAAATCTTAATGACAATGTCATGACTCTTGCCCCTTTCAATCTCAATTTTTACTTTATTAACAAAAACAATATTTCCACAGAGTTTGGCGACAGCAGTGGTCCAGCTGTTTACCACAGAAGATCCATCACATTCAAAATGGAAGAAGAAGGATACAGGCGTGCTATGTCTGATCAAGGACAATGGAAAGAGGTCGTACTTCTTCAGGATATACTGCCTCTACCGCAAAGCAATGATTTGGGAGCAAGAAGTCTACCTTCAGATCGAGTACAAGAACCCACGGCCGTTCTTACACACATTCGAGGCAGAGGTAAGTGTCGATATGGTTCATTTTTCCATCTATAAAATTATAAAAGAAGATCTTATTCCTTCATGGGAATAGAAAAGAACGACTTATGACAAGACGGAGATTGTGTGCATGATAGAATGAAGTTTGATAGGGTCTTATTATTTGGTCGAATCTAAATAACTGTGCTTAGCCCTTATGGACTGGATGAAGATGATCTAGTATTTCATAGCTGTTCAGAATGCACACATACATAAAGCGTCGTACCCACATTCATTCCATGGGGCATCAGAAGACCCCATAATTTGATAGCGTTTGGTCTTTACTTATTTATTTGTTACTCTGCTATCATCTCCGGACCACAAATTGCTCAAAGCACTCGGCTCTTTGTTAAACTTATCTAAACAGTTTATCAATGACGTTGTGAATCATAAATGTCATTAATGTCCAATAATATTATTCATTCAAAATAATCGCCGTCTGACTCTGATTAACATGTGACTTATTGATGCAAAGATTCATACAATGATTTGTACTAAAAGTTATTTATTTGTAAAGTGATTAGAGTGATTAGTAATCACTTAATTACGATTAAGTGCCTCGTTGGCCGAGTGGTCGTAAGTGCGACTGCTGGGCAAGGGGTCTCCGGTTCGATTCCCGGGTCAGGCAAAGTATTACTGGGTTTTAAATATTCTCAGTAGTAGCACGGAGTCTTGGAATTGTGCCCGGTATATGGCAATAGGCTCACCCCCTATTACATGCAACTCATAACATAAATAGTGAAAAGTGGGTGTTACATTATACAGTGGTATGGTATAATGTGCACCTTTGCCTACCCCTTCGGGGGTAAAAGGCATGATGTTATGTTAATTACGATTAGTAATCATTGCTTTATCAAATCCATAAACAAAAGTCGAAAATTACGTGTCATTCGATTGATTATTATGTTTATTGTAAGTGCAAAACTTAATGAATTTCGTACTAATCGCAGCATATCTGATAGCAGGAAAAGTAATGTGCGATAAAATCAATATTTCATTACTTATGTATTAGAAAAACTTTTGCTATTTGATTTGTCCCTTAGTTAAATATTCAGTGGACTGGCAATGGACTAGTAGAAGAGAATCGATAAAATATGAAGCTAATTTTCAGTATCGAAATTCCCACCGGTATTCACCTGTGTGCATATTAATGTGACCCTTATTTTAAGCTAAAAAGATACATTTTGCAACTCTTATTTTAACCCTTTGAGTACCGTCATTATAGACACAATTTTTTGACTGCACGGTTGGTGCGGTGACTGGACAACCGGCTGCCGTGCAACGTGTCGCGGGTTCGATTCCCGCACGGAACAACACTTTGTGTGATCCACAAATTGTTGTTTCGGGTCTGGGTGTGATGTGTATGTGAACTTGTATGTTTGTAAACGCACTCACGACACAGGAGAAAATCCTAGTGTGGGGCAAAGTTTAAAAAAAAAATAATTAACGAACAATAGGTTGCGGTCACCGGTGTGTCCTCGCGGTGTTTGACAGTTAAAAACAGAACTATTGTTTACGTAATTATTTAGCTCTAACGAACTTACAATGCAATTGACTCCAGTGCATTAAGATTGTAACACTAGACTTACAACCAGCCTGTTAGACAAGGTTATTTGCAAACGGTTCATACTATTGATTGAGAAGTTGATAACAGCGCAGATATTAATGAGATCTTAAGATTTTTATGTATCGCGTTCAAAGTCAAAGTCAAAGCATTTATTTCAATTAAATTTTCATAGTTTGATACTTTTGAAACGTCAACAAATACAAAATAAATAATAGTCTGTCAGTCAGTCCGTCGGTGAAACTAGGTGCTCATTCCAAAATGTAGATTCGAATGGAGAAGAAGAAGCAAGAAACTCCATTCGTTCAAATAGGTCTTCTGATAGCGATGTTAGTTCTAATCACTATAAAGCCTAACCAATTCTTTTAACTCAAAAATATGGTTTTCTACTCATAGTTAATCTCCATTATAAAAGGCTAGCAGTTGTTTTGACTAAAAAAAAGATTTTATACTATGCTAAAGAAAGAACACACCGTTGTATAGTAAATGTTTGGAAAGAAAAGTATGACCAAAATGGAGGTTCTAGTGTGTGTAATAAGGGAAAAAAGAAGAAGACTTATTGCATCGGTATATGGCAATAGGCTCACCCCCTATTACATGGGACTCATAACATAAATAGTGAAAAATGTGTGTTATATTGTACAGTGGCATAATGTGCACCTGTGCCTACCCTTCAGGGATAAAAGGCGTGATGTTATTAGGAAAATAATTTAGGATAAATTAAGAACTAGAATATTCAATTATATTACTGTTCCCGATGTACGAATGAAACTAAAAACTACATCGATGTTATAACTACTAATCGTTCAAAGGTAACGCGACACCGACATAGCGCTGTAATACTATACGAATGCATTTAATACGAACGTGTAACAAACTAATTTCATATGACCACATAAATAGCACCATAGTTTTTCCTTGTCCCCTTTGCTTTTTGGTAGATCTAAAGTACCCATTCCCGAAGTCTTCCTGTTATTAAAGATACTATGTAGCTTCCTTGACGTGCGTCGTGTTTCCCAAAACGAAACGCGTAATTCTTGCAATGTCCTATGTATCAACATTACATACGTCATCTCATTGTTTGTGTGAGGTAATGACCTATACAGATGGGTCTATTAATGTGTATTATAATAAACATTGAATCAGTTTACGTATTGTCACTGTTGATGGTCGTAACCGCAACTGTTGGTATGTCACGGGTGCCGTGCTTGCATATGTAATTGGAATGATGACAGGGTATGAAAATTAAAAATATAATTAGTCCTTAAGTAAGGTAATGAAAAAATATTAGACACGTTTTTTTTAACATACATAACATCACGCCTTTTATCCCCGAAGGGGTAGGCAGAGGTGCACATAGAAGTAACACCCACTTTTCACTATTTATGTTATGAGTCCCATGTAATAGGGGGTGAGCCTATTGCCATATACCGGGCACATTTCCAGACTCCGTGCTACTACTGAGATTTTTAAAAAACCCAGTAATACTTTGCCCGACCCGGGAATCGAACCCGAGACCCCTTGCCCGGCAGTCGCACTTGCGACCACTCGGCCAACGAGGCAGTCTTTTTTTTTGTCGTATAATAAAACAATACTTAGATAAAACGAATTAAAGTTTAGGAGTGGGGGCTAAAACGTCATTTCTACGTATAAAATGTACATTATGTAGAAGTGACGTCACGCGACGGACATTAAAATAAAAAATAGGCATTACCCTATTGGCTATGTATTTTTCTTCTTCTGATATTTAATGCATGACACACCTGTATTATCCTATGTTTTCCCTATAGTACAGTTACCAGACCCAGCAGGTCAACCTTCTCACTTCTGTCAATTTTTTCGTTACAATTTCAACTTTATTCTATACATATTATCAAGACAAAAAAGTTGTAATAAACAAAATTGACTTTTTATAAGATAATGTAAGTCAGGTCTATTTTCTATTAATCCTCCACGGATTCTTAGTCCGTGCGTTCGGCACTCTGATTGGCCGGCGCTAATAAACCAACCAATCAGTGCGCCGAACGCGTACTCGTTTCGAATACTTTAAACGTAAAACAAACTCGTACTCTGTTGTCATAAAATGATTTTTTATATACATACTAGCTTCTGCCCGCGACTTCGTACGAGTAATCCCATTTTTCCCGTCCCCGTTCGTGATTTTCGATAAAAAGTAAAAAAAAAGTATTGGTTTAAAAGTATCCTATGTCGGTCTCCTGGCTCTAAGCTACCTCCCTACCAATTTTCAGCCAAATCTATTCTGCCGTTCTCGAGTTATAAGTGGTGTAACTAACACGACTTTCTTTTATATATATAGATTATGTAGTTACAACTCAATACCTAAAACGTGTTTTTATTCAGCCTTTACACCTAAAATACCAATGTTATCGATCTTAGATAAATCTGTAACGTCTGCATTAAATTCCTTTGTAGATAAATATCTAAAAGACAAAAGATTTACTTATAGCAAACATGTTAAATTTAATATCAAGTTGTTATCAAGGTTATTTTTACATCTAAAGAGATAAATATTGTCCTGTATTTATTCGTCGCCGTATATGGTCGGTAAAAGGATAATGGACACTAACATAAATATAACAGGCAAACCATTATGAACACACAGGTTTATATTAAGAGTAGTGACGTAATCTTTTAATTAAGTAATACATTTACAATTGTACACCTTTTTACGAAATATACTACGATGAGGTAGTAGAAAGTAGAAACATTAAAGTTCGTTCGGATGAGTGCAGAAGTTCAAGTAGGACATACACGTCTTTTGTCCAAATACTCAAACGCCACTCAATTTTAACACATAACATAACATCATGCCTTTTATCCCCGAAGGGGTATGTAAAGGTGCACATTATGCCACTATACAATGTAAATGTAACACCCACTTATCACTATTTATGTTATGAGTCCCATGTAAAAGGGGGTGAGCCTATTGCCATATACCGACCCGGGAATCGAACCCGAGACCCTTTGCCTGGCACTTGCAACCATTAGGCCAACGAGGCAGTCAATTTTAGGTCGCGCTTGAGTATAGTTCTGTCACAACAAATTCTTTTTAAAATGACAGAGATGGCACGATATTTAAGTACAACCTAAAATTGGGTAGCCTTTCAGTATTCGAGCGTTTATAGTATAAAACTGAATTGCTGAATGTGTTGCTTAGCACAAATCTCGAGATCTACTGACCCGATTTCGCAAATTATCTAGTTTCCTAGGTTTAAAATAAATAGTTTCAGCTTTTTAATGCAATAAATAATTAAAAAACAATCATACTCTCATCCATTGATTTGACAATTTACCTACTTACTATTGGATTTTTTTCTCGTTAATTTTAAGGAAATAAGAATGCTGTTTGACGCAGAAAATAATCTGCTGCTATCCAAATCCAATACAAAATTCTTATAAAAGTATCGTTTTTGACTTAGACAATTTCAAAAAAGAACTATTGAAAATTTTGATAAATAAGTGCTATTACTCAGTAAAGGCCTATTTGGACGACAATTCTATAATTACTGCCTCAGACAATAGCGCACAACCCCATTTGTTTTGATGTTTTGAATTTTGTTTGACATTGGCCTATATGACATGTAACTTTAATCGTTTTTGACATTTTATTGAATTAATTCTATTTTATTTGTAATGATATGTATATGCGTATTAATATCTGTTAATGTTATATTTAACGCTAAATAATATGACACGAAAATTAATCTCTCTAGAAAAATTGTTAAATCTTGTTAATATTGACATTACTTATTTGATGATCCTAATTTTATTTGGCATTAGTATTGTATGACATGTTACTTAATCGGTTTCAATTTAATTTACAATTACAAGTGTCAATAAATTTTTGAATGATGACAATGTTAAATATTTTAATTATATATAATATTTGTACGCCTCTGGGCAAAACATGGAGAATCTGCCTACCTGTAACACCTCACATACCTATGTTTACAAATAAAAATATTCTGATTCTGATTCTGACATTTCAATAAAAGTATTGAATTTGACTAACTGTCAACTACCGTATTCCTTTTTGTTGGTTTTGCTATTGCTAGGAGAAGGAAAAAAATGTAAGAAAATATTCTAAGGCGAAACTATGTTGGCGGGGTCCGCTAGTTTCATAATATAATAATTACCTATGCAAAGAGAAAATTTCTTTGCGGAAGGAATTTATAATATGTGAGGAATGTAGTCTAACTGACCAGTAATTTCTTTATTTATTGTTATACAAATAATTACACTGTATCTTTGAAAAATTAAACGACATAACTATGGACTGAATTTTTCTAACATATACTTGATCATTAATAAGAACTCCTGCCATATGCTATAAGACCCTCCCTATTGACACCGTAATTGTTTTTACAACCCATTTATCTAATACTCCTGTCTTCGTTGTGTCTCAATTTCTTTGTCTTTTATTAAAAATTCTATTTATGAAAGATTTCTCAAATTGGCTCTGTTTCAAACTTGGTATCTTTTGTTTCTCAGAGCAGTGCATGTGAGTCGTATCAATGCAGACTTAGTTCTTGTGCCAAAAATGAATTACAATGCTACCAAGATTTTACCCACGTTTCACAAAAATTTTGCATAATGAAAAAGAAATGATGGTTTCCAAATCTTTGTTTGGCGTTGAGGAGATCAAAGGTCATCATCTAATCAACAGCTGAGACAACTGACTGTCCATAGAGTTATCTGCTGGATTATGGGTCTCCTCTACATAAGAAGGTTTAGCCATAATCGCTTCACGCTTGGCAGGCGGGTTGAAGCTAAAATGTTCAAGTTTAATAGAGATGGATGCTGTCCAACCTCTATTAACTATACAGTTCCTTAGTCGGTTCTGACGACTCCAGTAGGAAGAGTAGGCCGTTCTAATCTTTGGTCTTCAAAATCGACTTATGAATATGTATTTTTAATTCCAGGAATATATGGCCGCATTCAACTTCGCAAACGAGAATGAAGCGAATATTCTTAGAAATATACTCCTAGAGAAAATCGAACTCAGGAAGATCAGACGAGAAGGTTTGTAGAACTTATTTATTGGCTATGAAACGAGGAGAAAATCTTCTATTTGAACATTTTTACTTTTCTATTGTAAAATATCGAAAACAAGCTTTCGATTTTTTGTCTTTAATTTGTTATTTTACTTTACAAATTCAACAAAAACAAAATTGATAATGAATAAATCTTCGTGTAACGCATCAAATAAAATCTGGTACAGTAACTAATTTAAATAGATTGATGAATCATTCATATGATCATCATCAACCAGAATACTTACACTGATGAATAAACGCTGAGCTTGTGGTTTGGTATAATAACCACTTGGTAGACGGCTTGGGGGTCGCAGTAAGGTCACGAAGGTTTTAGAGTATGTCGCGGCCCGTCTCTCGGCGCTAGTCAAATTTTTTAAAGCATTCGGTAGTGTAGTTATATCGATATGATGAAACGATCGACTTTATATTATGTTACATTCTAACAGCTCCGCCCACGTTACCGGAAATAGTAGCATAAGAGCCAATTTCCTTAGAAGTTTTTGCGTGAATGACAAAAAAATACATACACACAAGTGTCACGAACTTTGACATTTACAATATTGGATTAAAAGTCTGACGTATATATATTTTTTTTTCATATAACTGCTATGTACTGTAGTATTTGTTATCCTAGTCATGTTGTTTACCAGTTACTAACAATGACATTTGCACCACAATGCCTTGGACGTGAACCTGCGGAAGGAAGGACCGTAGACCTATTCTCGCCAGGAACTTGAGAGCCGGCAATAATGCGGCGATTGTCGTAAATAATGACTTCACATTATGTGTTTATATCTGTGGTTACTGCTATTTACAAATATATCTCGTAAACACGCTTTGTGATGATGGCTCTGAATAATTCCTTCACTATGTCATCACATGTACTGGCTTCCGTTTATTGGCCTCTGTAATTTTGATTGGGATTTAAGAAATAATGGGGCCTAAATTGGTTTTTGGTATTAGAAGAAGTCTTCTTATCTGTGTAAATACTAATTGCATGAAATAAATATTATGACGTCACGTTTAGGACATACTCAAAAGAATCGTTTGGCTCTATAATCATTTTTTCGTTCCAAAATTAATATTACCAATCACGGAAATGACAAATTGAAGAAAATAATTGCCTTTCTTTTTAATTACTCAATTCACTTACTATTAGCGTCTTGAGTACCGGTATTATGAGACACAATAGAAAATACATTGTGCCTCGCATACGTTGCGGCATACCACGGGTCAATGTAAGAAAACAAAGAAACCTAAACTTACACATGTTCAGAAGATTTTTATTGAGCTAAGTTCATTACACGCAGTCTAGAGCCCTTTTTGATGATTGGGGAAACCAAGAATCTTGGGCCTATATGAATATGGAAATAAAATTAGCCAATGGGTCTTCTTGCAACTAGAACTTTCCATTGGTGGAAGATTTTGGTAATACCGTCCAAAATCCAGTATGCATTCAAAACTTTCCTGTGAATATAAAAATGTGCTTTATTAACAGAACGTCGACAACGGTCGATGGTATCAGCCCGCAGCAGTACTGCGAGTTCAGTGCCGTCGCGGCAGAATGGGACGCTACCGCCGCCGCCGCCGGAGCCGGAGCCCGCGCCCGCGCCGCCCACCCCGGCGCCCACACCACTCATGCAGCCCCCGCAGCCAGTGCAGCAGATGCAGCCCATACCCGCCAAGACTAATCACAGCTTAGGAAGTCAGTACCATACCATATTTTAAAATATTTGTTATGAGATAGTGCGGTAAATGAGCAGATCTTTTAGACTTTAACTCGTCGAGTACCGGTTTTATAGACACAATTAAAGAACAATAGGTCGCGGTCACCGGTGACCGCTTGGTATTTGACAGTTTAATGCATGATCGCAAACACTTTATGTTGCGGGTGTATTTTTGTAACTTCTCTAAGTTCTCGGATAACTCACATAACTACAAGTTTATTTACTTGTAACTCCGCCGGTTCTACTGGAACTCCTTTGGATCCTCTTGTAATTTGTCTGGACTCATTAGAGCTCTTTGGGTTCCTCATTGTAACTCGTTCGGTTCCACAAGAACTTCTATGAATCCTTGTGTAACTCTTCCAGTTGCTAGTGAGTTCCTTCAGATATACGTGTAACACCTTCAGTTCCCGATGTAACTTCCCCGGTTCCATTGGAACTCCACAAAAGGGTCCTCTTAAACTGCTGTAGATCCATTTGAGCTCCTCAGCATTCTCTTATAACTCCTTAGGTTCTACTAGATCTACGTCGGGTCCTCTTGTAATATATCCGGTTCCTCTATAACTCACCTGGGTTCTCTTTTTACTCTTTCGGTTCTTCAAGAACTTCTTTGGGTCCTCTTGTAATATCTCCGGGTCCTCTAAAACTTATTTGAGTTCACTTTTTTACTCCTTCAGTTCAGTCAGAACTCCTCTGTGTCCCTCTTGTAACTTCTCTGGTTCTACTAGAGATCCTTGAGGTCCTATTGTAACTCCTTCGGTTCTACTAGAGCTCCTAGGATCCTCTTGTAACACCAAATATATGAGCACTGTACTCCAAACTCACAGTAATATCAAAGTTTGAAAAGGTCATCATCAACAGCCTATACACCACCACCCACTGCTGAGCACTAATCACCACGCTTGCTCAATGCGGGTTGGTGATTACAAACTTATAATTAGAAATTATAAGCCTAGGTTTCCTCACGATGTTTTCCTTCACCGTTTGTCAGTGGTGTCTAAATAATCTTAGAAAGTACATATATAACTTAGAAAAAGTCACATTGGTACTTACCGTTGGTAGGTTTCAAACCCGCACCCTCCACCCGCATACATGAGAAGCGGGTGTCTTAAAGCTCCAGGTCACCACGCCATTTTACGACATTTTGAAAAGGTGACATATAAATATTTATATAAATACTAATTTCAGGCTACACTTTGAAAAGTAATAAGAAGCAGAAGGGGCGGAAGCTGACGAAGGCTGACATCGGAGTGCCGCAGAACTTTAAACACATATCACACGTCGGCTGGGATGCTAACAAAGGTACAAACAAACGAAATTATTTACCAATCTTAGCCCAAAATCTCTGGATCATTTCCAAAAACTTGGTAATATTAATAAATCTCAATAATTTAAACCTTAACTTCACATTCATATAAATCTTATACTTTGTTACATCATTATTAATTCTAAACTAAAAATCTTTAGGGTTTGACCTGGACAACGCACCAAATGCTGACGAGCTACGTTCGTTCTTCACGAAGGCTGGGGTGTCAGAGACCCAGCTACAAGACCAAGAGACCAGAGAGTTTATATACGACTTCATCGAGATGCATGGCGGACTGCCGGCCGTCAAACAAGATCTCGATAATGTTAAGAGTGAGTTCTTAATTATTACAAACTGATTTCTATTGTTTTAATAGCAAAGGAAAATAAGTACTAATGCTTTTTATAGGTTCGAGTAAAGTATACCTGGTTTTTTTTTTAATTAATAGTAGCACGGACTTCTGGAATTCTGCCCGGTATATGGCAATAAGCTCACGCCCTGGGGCATGACTCATAACATAAATTGTGAAAAATGGGTGTAACATACCTACAATGGCATAAAGTGTCACAATGACCTACCCTTACAAATAAAAGCCTAGTACATGGCCAAGAAGCCAAAATAGTAACTTCATGTTGGATTTTAGAATAAGTGGTGATTTCCATGTGTGGTTCCCCCGCAGCCCCGCGCGGCGCGCTGCCGCCGGCGCCGAGTATGTCGGCCCCGCCGCCGCCCACGTCGGCGCCGCCGCCGCCCGCGCCGCCCGTGCCCACGCGCAGCCCCGCCCCGCCACACCCGCCCGCACCACGTAATTTTTTTTCATATTTCCTGCTTATTTGCTCGAAAATCATTAGATTTTTTAGTTGTCAAGTAAAATGTCATATAGCTTCAGTGTCATATTGTTTCATAATAGGTTTTTTGTATGTTTACTGATGATAGTTATGTTGTTCTGTTTATTTTAGGGACGAACATCGCACAACAAAGTAACAATTATAAAAATCTTACGAGTTGCCCTCGTGTGATGAAACTATGTAACTCGTATTACATTTTTTTTATAATATCCAACCATTAACCTTCATGTAATTTGAAATATGAAACATTAGACATATTATAATGCAAGTCTTGTCCCGCAGCATCCCGCGCGCCCCCGCCGCCCCCGGCGCGCGTGCTGCCGCCCCCGCTGGCACACCGCACCGCGCCCCCGCGCCCCGCGCAACGTGAGTATTATATTTGTACCACTTCCATTGAGTCCTAAACGCCATTTCCAGGGGCGAGAGAATCACAACAGTTACATCGCCGCGCTATCAAACGCATCTTAAAAGCACAACACATCATCGCAGATACGTTGCGATTTTGTGACGAGTCGTAACGATACGTTGCTTGCTATTCGCACATTGTATTAATAATTTATTATAAAATTCACAGCGGTAATATCGTCGGGTCCCCCGTCAGTGCCCCCGCCTCCGCCGCCCGGGTCGGCCCCGCCCCCGCCTCCGCCAATTTCCGCATTGGCGCCCCCGGGTCCGCCACCCCCTCCCCCTCCGCCAGCACCTCCCAGTCCTCCACCAGCGCCTCCAATGGCGCCCGCGATGCCGACGGAGAGTGCTGCACCCTCTCCCGCGGCCGCAGACCCCAGAGCTGCACTTATGGAGAGTATTCGAAGTGGAACCAAGACTCTCAAGGTAAAAAAAATATGATAAGATTTGTTAAATAAAACCCAGGCAATAAGATAAGAATTCGAATGAGCGTACGATATGGCTCGACCTACTAAGTAATTCAATATACATAGTTAAAAGTTTTTGTTACTAATAACAAACAATGTTTAATTTGCTATGTGAAACTTATTGCAGCGCGTCGAGCCCGTGGCTAAGCCGGTCGTTATAGACGATAGCAGAAGCAATCTGCTCAGCGAGATCCGGCAGGGCGTGGAACTTAAATCCGTAAGTCTTACTTCAAAATGTTTATAAAATATATGGAGTCACTAGCATATGCCAGCAATTTCCTACGTTCATGGGATAAAAACTACCCCATGTGTTATTCAAGAATCATAAACATGTCTGAAATCCGCCCAGTAATTTCTACAAAGACTAACAAACATGTATGCACACATTCGTATAAGTATGTATGTATATACACACCTCAAAAACTATCGCATTTATAATATTAGCAGGATTCTAGTAATTTGGACGGTGCCTGACTCAACGAAGTGAAATTGTAAATGGTTTAGTTCCATAGTATTGTGGAAGGTTTTGTTAATTGTTACGTGTGTTTGCAGGTGTCTCGGTCCGGCAGTAACAGCGGCAGCGAGCGGCGCGGCGCGCGGCCGGCGTGCGGCCTGGCCGAGGCCCTGCAGCGCGCGCTCGAGGAACGCTCCCGCGCCATACACTCCTCCGACTCCGACATGTCCGACGCAACCACCAGCGACGGAGAGTGGGACGACTGAACCACGCCCTAGGTATCTCTATACATTTATAGAAACATGTCGATTGTCATGTCTTATGATTTTTTCTGAGACGACAGAAACTAGGTATCTCTCTATATTTCGAACATTACACTGTCTTATGACTTTTACCCAGATGGTAGAAATTATGTTCAATTCTATTGCAAACAAAAACTATTAAAGACTAGTTCTTCGGTCATTCTTGTCCGGCATCCAATGTATTGAAAATAAAACTGAGGAGATATTATAAATTTTTCTGGTATACTTGATGATATCAAAAGAGTCTTTATTACGACCGATTATTTGTGTACAAATGTCTTCTACAATGCCATTTCGATTGTCATTAAGTTCACTTCGGCCAAGTTTAAAACACAATCAAGCCCAAAATTAACTGCCAAAGGAAATTTGTCGAGTTTTGGATATTATATTTAACGTTTCAAATACACAAATTACGTTTATGACAGAAAGAGAAATCATTTATTTTTACTATTTTGTGAAACTGTGATTTCGTTTTATCGGAGATTGACAAAAACGCGCCAAAATATTACTTTTTTTTAATTTCCTCACACTATGACAACGTCACATTTAGGTATTATTTTTAATTATCTGTCTTTTAAATAAATATTAACGAAGTTGCAATAATAATTGTTGTGCTATTCCTTTCTATATTTCGTCCTTTAATTACTTGTAGATTAAAATTGTCTTACAAATCCCTCCAATAAACCGCGTGCCTATTTATTTGTATAAAATGTGTTTGGCAAATATGATCGATATGAGAATGGTCCACTAGTGGAGCCTTTCGCGGCTTTACGATAAAGCCGCGAAAGTTTGGCAGGCATGTCAAAGTTACGTTTAAAAACATGTGCAATCAACGATGAAAGCTGCAGTGTCGATTTCTTTTCACGCTAGTCTTCAAAGTATTCTATTCTTCATAAATTTCTTAAAATTATTATGTGAAATCAACCAATAGAAACTTGCTAAAATAGTCCACTTTTATCGTTGATTGTACATCCTTCTTAGTAAGTAGTTCCACGAACAGGTCATTTCAAAACGTTATCATTATGTGCGTTTTAGTTTTATCCTAGTCAAGGAATATGTTTATATTTAACTTCATTTGCAAAGATTTCGCACTATTACATTAGACACTAACTGCAGTACTCGGAGACATCTAATGACTACTTAAACTATTCCTTAGTAACGAGTTTTGTTCCGAAAACAATAGCTAGGGACTGGGTTAAGTAACTATTGAATGAGTCTGAGGACGACGGTAAATTACGATATTATAAGTATTCAGCTAACAACAGTATGAATAAGGTTTATTTTTAAATATTAACTTGTATAACTACTTCACCTTTTTTATTGCAACAAAAGAATAACTAAGATATAACAATCCCATTGAAGAAATAGTATTGTTACAATCTGTATTTATTATCATTTAGATAACTTTGCATACTTAAATCAGTTGTAAGTGTATTTATTATGTATAGTTATACCAAGTATTATTTTTAAAAGAATGACAGGAATGTTAATTATAAATATTGAGCAATACGTGATGGTTGAAAGTGTTTTAAGCGTCATAATATCAGTTAAAATTAAGCGTTTTTTTCTTTATATTGTTATTATCTTCTTAAAATAAAATTTCGATGTTAATTAGTAATTTTTAAATCTTTTTTCTAATAAAAATGTGTGCCAGAGTAGCTAGAGGACTGAGTTATTACTGATAATGGATTAAAACTATTTAAACGTTCCTTGTCAGTTCTACTCGGCCCTAGTTGTATGAATTTACTTCAGTTCAAATGTGATATTGGAATAATTGTGCTCAGCAATATTTTTCTCTTTGTATCGAGTCAAGCATTTATGTATAGGTGTTCTAGTGCATTGGAGGTAATGTTTCTTAATTCGAGGCAGTTGATATGTTAAAGAAAACATGCTTCCAAAGCTGTGGTTAAGTTCATAGTTAATACTTCAGCTAAATTTCTAACGCGTATTAGATGATGGGTAAATTATGCTCAGTCACTACCCTTCCTCGAATTAAGGAAGCCTTACAATGTCTTTCTTTATTAGTGTCATGTGAATATTTTCTATTTTAAGTAATTAATTACTTTTTGTAATAAATAATACAAGTTATTAATATTTTTATTGATGAATATTTTAAATGTTACGTTTGTGAAGCCGTAGAAAGAATACGTTTGTATATTGCTTTAAATGTTCTATTTAAAACACTAACACGTATCAACAAAGTATATGAAGCATATATCGCCTTATTACATTAACAATATTACAATCAAAGGCTGACGTACTCTTTCGACGAGATCACTTATATATTTTATATATACTATTGATGTAAAATGTGTATATAATTGTAGTAGGTAAATTCTGATAGACTAAAGTGCTGATTATGACTGAAAGCAAATCACCGTGATTCTAAATTAACAAATTTTGAAGTGTGCGCTGCTGGTTGATTTGAGATGGATTACTAGTTGCAAAACAGCAATTATAACTTCACAGTAAAGTTCAAAATGCTTTGTTTTGGCGACATATAATAATATCGAAGCACATACTTCATTGTAGTTAGATAATAGAAATTATTATGACGTTATATTCATGCGTCTGACATTAGCATCCATAGTTCAACTGAATGCCTTGAACTGCTCACATTGAATTGTCGATTTTAATTGTATCAATATTAGGTATATTTTTGCATGAGTCAGTTTTATTCGTCGCATTATAATTTGATACTAACAAGCAATATAAATTCTAAAAACCAATCCACCTATGTCACTTCGTGTTTATTTTATTGGATAAGTTTATTTTCTTGCAAGTCATACTTGTTACTTTTAATTTTTTATGAATAGATAATTATTTAGATTATAAGTTAGATAGGTCCAGTTGACTTATGAAAGTGATTCATTCGGTTCAGTTTTTAGCAAGAAGAAAGTTTGTTGTTTTTCAGTCTCATTATATTTTATCTACATATACCCGAAATAATATGTACTCATTTGTATCAGCATAATCATGAAGAAATCAAGTAAGTCAATGTAACTCTGAATATTGCTCCCGAATCCAAAACTGTACTAAAAATTGTATTGAATGGAGTTAAAACTAGCGTAAGGGGTATGACTATGTATCTTAATAAATAACGATAGATATTTTTATAACTATCAAACGTTTACGATTAATGTAATGTACCTGTAACACTGGAAACTTGTGGATGGCTGGTTAGCTGAGGTAATCGGGAAGTATCAAACGGTCCAGCTAACTGCGGACTGTGAAAGCAGAATGTAATGTATGTAGCTACCAGACGTAGCCTATTTGATTCTAAATAAATTATTACCTTGTAAAGCATGTACCACAGAACTAATCACTAATTAATGTTCTACTAACTATATCAGTTAGCTTTGTTAATCAGCTGTTCATATATGAGTATGTTGACTAAATAAACATTATTAAAATTTCAAATGATCATTTTATTTCGTCCATCATAAACAATCCACGTTTGACACAGAAAAATAATGGAGAATTTACTCACAATTAAAAAAAAGTAAAAAAAAAAATAACCAGAAATAAAAGTAACCTCTTTATAACATACAGTTGGAATAAACATATTAATCTTATAACTAACTGATCATAGATGCTGACTGAACTTAGCTATACTCTTATAATTATCTACGAGTTACAATCTAATGTATACAATACATCCACACCTTTGGCTAACTTGAAAACTGAAAAATACACTATTTCTTACTAGCATTGTATTTCAATAAAAAGTTATTTAACAAAACAATATTTTAGTAAACATTATTGCATTTCTCCTATCTCTGCTAATATTCTACTAGAGCTAAAGTCCTAGCTGCTATATGTAATGGGCAAGTTACAAAATCACTGAACTTTATTCTGTCGTGATTTCTAGAGTACTCTTTGTATCGAATAAGTTACATTATCCTCGTACTAACATATCTTTACATACACACTTGAAACATATGTACAGATTACTAAAAAAATAACTTAGGAAACAATATACCCTATTTACAACTTAGACAAATGATTTCGAATCCTATTCCATAAGCCAAGCTAAAATATACATGCGATACAATTTCATGGATGCAATAGAATTCAAAATTGCTTGGCCTAACTGTTAACAAAGGGTTCATCAATGTTATTTAAAATGGAGTATAAAGTACAATGTTTAAAGAACTATAATAGATCCGAATATTAAGTAATGAGACTCATGGAAATCTATTCTAGTGTGCTCAGTAGATTATTGTACAAAATTGTACGAAATCACAAATAATATTGGTCATATTGTTTTAAAGAAAATAAAATCTTAGATGGCACTTAAATTATAAAGTAATAATTTTAAATACAATATGCCTAGATTTTAATGCCATTCAGTAAACTGACAACAGCTATTGTCAATTTGTACCATCGTCAAACTAACGGTGACGGCTTTCGACAGATCAAAATAAATGTAAATTAATGATTTGTACCTGGGTATCATTAATAAAATAAATACCTATGATATTTGACAATACTTGCGCATTTTTCTTTTTTCTTGCACATTACACAAAACGAAAGAAAAATGCGTATGTTCAATCTCTCAATAATGATGAATAGCGCCAGCGATCAAAAGTTCGTTTTACAATAACGGACGATTCGAATCGATTTTATTTATTTACGTACTTTCCTAACGATGCATCGTTACATCACAATTAATATTTCGTAGAGTCAATTATAAGTCCACATTGAAACTGTATTTTACTGAATGGAATTAAAAGTTGGAATACAGCAACATTCTTTACCACTACACAAAATACCAATTCTAATGATAAATAGAATTTTAATGCCCAATTTTTTCCGAACTAATTTCCCATCAAGAAAGATATACAAGTCACTCTCAAATACAGAAAATGTACTATAAATCGTGCTGGATTTTACTGTACACATTTATATTTTAACCAACTTCATGATTAGAGTAATGCCTATTAGATTAACATTCTCAAAAACTAGACATATAATTTTGCTCCACTGAGAATTTCAAATACTAGATAAAGTGTGAAAAATTTAGATAATACTTTTGTCCCCACTTGGACCTTATTCTAGAAGGTAGAACTCACGACCACAACTACGAAGCTATTCCTTATCACTCCAAGGCCGTATTCAAGTTAAGAAGTTACATATCACATGCGACGAAAGAGCTTTATTCTCTTTTTTTCTCTTTTTTTTCTCTTAAAAAAACGTTGCCCCACACTAGGATTTTCTCCTGTATCGTGGGTGCGTTTACAAACATACAAGTTCACATACACAATGACACCCAGACCCGAAACAACAATTTGTGGATCACACAAAGTGTTGTCCCGTGCGGGAATCGAACCCGCGACACGTTGCTCGGCAGCCGGTTGCCCAGCCACCGCACCAACCGTGCAGTCGAATTATTGCTGGGATACTGAGCTAAGACGACTTTTTTCAGTGGAAAATTCAGTAGTCGGACCCTTACGTTATTCCTTTAAATTTAAACCGACCTTGGAGTGCACACAAACCTACATACAAGTAATATTCACAACGAATTTCACAAAAATAAAATATAAAATCAACAGTCAATTGTTGATTCAAAAACAATTTATATTTACTGACTCTTCACCTCACTTATTTAACAGATCGTCTACAATCACATGAATATATTTATACAAGTTCCTGATAAGTTTGACTACAGAGAGAATACTATATACTTGTCAAATTATCTGGTAAAGTTCAAGTCTAGATCTGTTCATTATTGTATATGTGGCTAGCTGGGCAACCTATCCTTTTCTGTCAAATTTCTCGATTACATCGTTAACTTTATTGTATTGAGATAAAAGTCGGAAATTCAATAAAGAAATTTGACAATAGGTACAGGTAGGTTGGCCGGCTGGCCTCTGCATACTACAAATGTTGGATAACCAACTAAAGAAACAAAATACCGCGTAACCTGTAAAACAGCCGCTACTTGTCTTGTAGCTCATCACTCACTTTACAATATTTTTTACCTTGCAAGCTATCTGTACTTCTATAATCTTTTCTTTGGTCACACTTAACCACAAAGCCAAAAGTAGCGCCTTTTTTAAATATATATTTAGAAAACAAATTCGTAAAGAAAACAAACAAGTTTCACAATACATGTGTGTAACCTGCCTACAATGTACCAGGTGGTACAATAGCTATTGTTAGGAAGAACATTTGTGACTTAATAAAAAATCTAATAGAAATCATATATCCTGCTTAATTTTCATATCAAACTAAAATCACAATTGATCATCACTCATACGAACTAACATAATTTTCACCACAGCCGCTCAATATCTCATAGACCTGACATTTTAGCAGTATAAGCAATTTTAGCTTGCACACACGGTGAAACATACGAGCAAATCATCGGAATGGCACCCACACACACACAGATTGTGACATTAACGAAGTCTATGTAGATGCACAAATGGCTGATTCCTGGCAGCGCAAAAAAAATTAAAAGTTTTATAATACATGTCGTTAATTCTACGCACCACTCACTCACCATTTATTTCAGTCTAAATATTAATTTATGCTATTTAAGTATTCGATAAATGCCTGTGGTTGCAACTCGCACACGAATTAAATACAGCGAATATTTGCTAATACAATATTGTTGTAGATTCTTGGTTTCACATAGATAATAATACTATAATAATTAATATTACCTATTACTTATTACATTGGATTGTGACTTCAATCCTCGATGGGGTAGGAAAGGTCTGTGGAAGATCAGGTTCTGTAATTTTCAGTTGCCCTTATCTTGCAACTTGTTCAAATTACTTCTTATGTAGCATACAAACCCCTGTCATTGAAAGTACTAGACACATTCGGTTACCGGCTCCATCTAGTCTTCATCTAAAACAACAATGACTGGAATAAGAGTGTCATCAACACTAACTCCGTCATCATCCGATAGGTTCACCACATTAGCATTAGTGTCGTCCGCACTGTCGATGCTGTCCATTGTCTCCGCCTCCTTGTTGTAAAGCGATAGGACATCTGATATTATAGGCGACTGAATCATTGGGATGTTTTTACTTTCCTGGCTTTCTTCTTCCTCTCCGAGCGATTGTAGTACTTCATCCTCTTCGTCGTCAGTATGACCGTAATACTTCTCATCATCTTTCTCGTCCTTAGGAACGTATGTATTTATCAGCTGAGTCAAGTTAGCGTCACATGTGAATACCTTCGACGGGTCTATGTCCTCTTTATTGCATTCGTGTGCAGATATAACTTTGTACGACGTAAAGTATTTGAGACACCCTTGGCACTGATTCAGCAAGTGCGCGCGGTAATGATTGTGTAAGTTCGGAAAATCTTCCCCACAAACCACACATTTCTCTGGCTTCACTACCGTTCTGTAGTGAAGCTTCTTCACAGTCTTATGAACTAGTTTCATGTGTTTCATGAACGGCCCATATTTAACAAACTTCTCGCCACATTTTCGACACTTAATAGGTTTCTTATTATATTTTCTACTTCGATGAGAGAAAGCATGTATATTAAAAGCGTCCATGGTTTTGAACTTCAGTGGACAGAACCTACAAGATATCGAGCCTGACCCCTTGTGTATCTGGTTGTGCAATCGTTTAGTACTTTTCTTGGTTACAGGTTTAAAGCAGAATTTGCATTCTTCATACTGGAATGTCTCTTTGTTGCCTACGTATCCTGTGCCTTCGTCATCACTTTCAATGGCACATAGATGATTATCGAAATCCCCTCTCGAGTAGAAATATTCATTGCATTTCTTGCACCTATTTTCTTCATGGTAAGCCAAATGTTTGTGCAGGTTGTAGAATCTCTTGTTGCAGATGTGACAGGTTTCTTCGATAGACTCCTTGGGTTCTATCACCCAGTCCTTATCGTCACCGTGTACCTCTTTCATGTGGTTTATCATTTCCTTGAAAGCTACAAATGTCTCGTCGCAGTGTTCACATTTCGTTGGATTGTCCACATTAAGCTGATAGAGATGGTGATTCTTATGCTTCCGATACATCACCATCGTGCTAAACTTCCTCGGGCAGTATATACAACCGTAGTATCCAACAGTTCGATGGTATATCTTGTGGGTGCCTAGAGCGTACTCATTTTCGAAAACTCTAAAGCAATAATCACACACGATCTCTTGCTTGCCAGCAGACATTTCCCTCTTTACTACAATACCGTGCTGCGTGCGCAAGTGACAGTCTAACTTCACTTGTACATGGAATGCTTTGTAACAGATGTGGCATTTTACTTTCTTTGGGTAAACCTCAGTATCACCTAAAAGCTTTTTCTTTTCGCACGAGAACGTGAGATGTCCCTCCAAGAATCGGAGAGAGCTGAAGTAATCAAAGCAGTAGTTACATCTTAACGAGTTATGGTAGTCAATGTGCCGCTCGTAATTTCCCTTACTAGCAAGCACTTTCATACATATGGAGCATTGAAGGTCTTTGAGCGGCCCTGTCAGCGGCAGTTCAGTGCGGTCTGCGATCCAATTCTCTATGATACTGTGCACGTCGCGCAAGTGGTGATGAAGCCCGTAACCCTTCACGAACGTCTCGTCACAGTGCGGACACTTGAGCGGGTTATCTAAATGCTTCTGGGCCAAGTGGCTCTTTATGTGGAGATGGTGATTTCTAAGCGATATAGTTTTCTTTCCACAGAACTTACATTTAAAGAATTCGGGCTTTCTCAAGTGAGCTTCCTCGTGAGATTGTAATCGTCGTTCATCTAAGAATACTTTGGCGCACAATTTGCAAGAATAGTAAAGTGGTGACGGAGCGTCGGGGTCGGGTTTGATCATTTTACTTTCAGGGTGCGTCCGCCTCAAGTGGCGGATAAGTTTTACCAAGTCTGGGTAATACCGCGTACATATTGGACATTTCACTTTGTCCTTTCGGATTTTTTCTATTCGTTTTTTGTGCGACTGGTGATCAAAGTTATGCCCTTTCACGTGTTTTTGGAAGTAGCCTTCATGCGTGTAGCCTTTTCCGCAGATAGTACACTTGAAAGGACCATTATCATCTTCGTAGTGAGATCGGATGTGTAGGTCTAACCTTCTTTTGTTTGTAAACTTCACCTTGCAGATACTGCACTCGTGTCGAGCGCCATACAGGAACGTTTTGGAAGTGTGCCAGATCAAGTGATGTTTCAGTGAGACTTCAGAGTCGCACACTTTGCCGCAGTGGTGGCAGGTGTGGGAACCGTCGAACACGTTTTTGTCAACGGTGCTAGGTAAGGCGTCGCCTACTATGGTGTTCTGGGCGCTGTCGCCTTTCTTATAATGTATGGCCATGTGAGATAGGTATACTTTCCTGAACTGGAAGACTCGCTCGCAGATGGAGCACTGATAGTCCTTGTTCTGGAAGCGCATCTGCTTGTGGTAAGTCATGTGCGCCTGCGCGGCCCGCAGGTGCTTGCTGCGTCGCCCGCAAATGTTGCACGTCAAGTGCTTCGGGTCCAGGTTTGTATCGTGGTAGTGCTCGCGCATGTGGATCTTGTAGTGGCACTGGAACCTGAATGACTGCAACAAAAATATTGTCAAGGAGAATATTTGTTTACAATAAAATTTATAACACATTTTGCCCATAATAAAACTACAAAACGCCGTCTTACCTCGTTACAAACAGCGCACTCGTACTTTTTCTGAATATTATTGCCGACACTCGAGTGCCAGTTCACATGCCTTTTCAAAGATATCAGTGTGGGCATCTTCTTGGCACATATGGGACACGTAAAGCCGCTAAGGTCAACCAGCGGCTTGTTCTCTGCGCCCGGAACCTCACCAAAGTCGTTGTGACTCTGGATCCAGTCCAGGGGTTCCGCTTTTGCCACAACGACTTCACAAAAATCCGAAGGATTTACTGACTCTTTCTCTATAGGCTGCTGTTTTAGTCTGTGAATTAGTTTTATATGATTTGCTAGGGCTGAACAGCTCTTGAAAGTGTCCTCGCATTCAGCGCACGTGTATAAATTACGAGGCTTCATGTTCTTTGATATGTGGGTTCGATTATGCGCGTTGATATCGCCGACCTTCATGTCGAGGTCGCAAATAAGACATCGCACGGAGCAGTCCTTGAGGTAGATTTTGGCACGCTTATGACCCGAGCTCATGTTGTGTTTCGTCCTTTTGTGATGTAGCAGCAGTCGTCGATACGAGAACTGTTTCTCGCAGATATCACATGTATTGTCGTCCTCTTCTTGACTAGATTCTGACTCAGTCTGACGGTAGACTGTCTCACTCAAGAGGCTCGTGGATGCCTTTTCAGGTACTTCTATCTTCACCTCCACTGGTACCTCAGAATGACATCGTGCTTCATGAGACATTAGAGATTTCTTGTATTTGAACTCTTTATCACACATCGAACATTTAAGTGAGTTAGTAGGAGTATGCGCATGGCTGGGTAGTGAATGAACAGACATAGTATCTTCAATTGTGCTTGCTCTGAAAAAAATCGAAAATTTTATCCGTTTTACAAGTTTAATTATAATATACATTCAGTTAACAAATGAAATATAAAATCATACCTCGATTCATTGTCAGCGCCATCATTCTCATCGATATGCGACATATGCGCCGCTAAATGTTGAATTAACATCTCTTGTGAAGGTAGCTTCTTGGAGCACATCCTGCACTCATGACACTCCTGAGCTTCTGGCTCCACTGAGGTCTTCGCGTGCAACATTCTAGGTTCAAAGTGCATGTTCTTTATATGTTGGAAATACGAGGTCTTTCTTGTCGCCACTTTCTTACAAACAGGACATTCGTATGGTTTAGTATCATCCTTCTTAGAACACGAATTGAAATGTGCAGAATGAACATAATAATCATCAAAGAGTTGGCTGCAGTAAAGACATGGCACTGCGACTTTTTCCCTTTGCTTTTCTTCCCTTTTCAAAACTGCAGCATGGACTACCTTCATATGTTTTGCCAAGTTGTCAGTGGTCTTGAACTTGGCAGAGCATATTTCGCAAATAATGTTGCGGTTTGCCATACCGTCGATTGGTTGTAGGGAGACCAGTAACTCTTTCTGCGGAGATTTAGCTCGACTCGCTGTGTTCCCACAAATGTCTACGTGACGCTTCAACATGATCTTTAACTTGAAGGTCTTTCCACATTTATCGCAGTTCAGTTTGTCCTCTACATCAGCTGCATCCTGTGTCTCTACTGGTATATTAACGACAGCGTTTTGGCCCAAAGTTTCTTTCTTTTCATGTATTCTCTTATGATTTATGAGACTCCTAGGAGACGGAAATTGTTTGGGACAGTAATCACACTTAAAGCTGTTTTTTTGAGAGGAATCGTCGGAATCTGTTTCGGGTAAGTACGAGGCGCTGTTGTCATCGTAATCTGAATCTAATTGTGAAGCATTGCCAGACTGTTTTCTTCTTTTTTGGGTCCTCCTTAGTTCGTCGACACGTTTGGAGCTACCGGGTCGGTAGTCACTGGACGCGCCGCCAATGGAACCGTTGTCGATACTATCCACGCTACGTTTCCTGTTTCTAATAGTAGGAGTTACTTTTTCTTCAATGGAAGACGGAGGTTTGGTCAGGTTGGAAGTGTCAGTGTGATTTGAAAAAGCAGAATCACTGCTCTGTCTGTTAGGTGGTGGGGGACTGATGCTAAATCCTAGAAATTTATTGGCAATCAATATCGAGACCTAAAGTAATCATATCTGATTTGATTAACAATCTTGATTATGTTTTACCTGGTGGTGGGACATAGTTGCGGCGTAACTCCTGATCAGATCTTTCACACTGCTGTTTGAAGATGTATGCACTGCTTAGTTTCTGTATGCACTCTGAACATACTTTGTCAGGGAGCCCATCTCCTTCATAAATCTACAAAAAAAAAAAAATTCTATGGTAAGTTTTGTTAGCTGCCAAAACAAATAATGAACCTCAATCAATAAAAAAATTGTTGTTTGTTAGGAAGTTTGATTCTCAAGAAATAATGTCAAAATGGCTACATCGCCAGAATTGCGGGGAACCAGTGGATGCAGGTGGCAAGTTGTCATTGGACATGAAGGACTGAGGGAGGCCTTCGTCCAGCAGTAGACTTTTACCGGCTGTTGATGAATGATAAAAATAAATCTCAATCCATACATTTTGAACAAACCTTCTTCAGCTAAATTGAGGCAAGAAAGGAGATTGTAAACAAAAATCTGCTGCTGGCTTTATTTAACTTTAAAAAATGTGTTACAATAACTAATTGGATTAACTAAACAGGACACAAAAGTGCACATCTGTGCCCATAGAAAATATCTTAATTGTTTATTATTCATTATTTTTATCAGTGTCTATAGCAAACAGAAATTCATAGGAATTTCTGTTATTAATAATGGTATTACTCTGGTCTGTCTAATTAGTACCAGACCTTTTCTTCTAAAAGGCTGGTAAGCTAAACAGACCTCCCACAACATGAGGATAATAAGGAGGTGTTATGAACTCCAACTGACTAATACCATTGCAGTGTTTTTCTTACCCAATATCACAACAGCAGATAAAACAAAACCAGTTCAATAATGTTCAACAAGTTGTTTTACAAGTGTACATTCATTTCATTTAATATTTAATAAATCATTTCGAAATAATTGAGTTTGTTCATAAGTATTTACTTATTTAAGCATCAAGATAAGTAACTGTTTAATATGAAGAGTTATCTCAAGACTAAATAAGTTTCCTTTCTTTATTTTAACGAAAACAGCAATTAATATATAATGTGTGTTCTGTAATTGGAGACTTTTCATCAGCACAATTTCATACATTCGTAATATGAGATGTTGTTATTGCACTTTTGCACTAAAGTTAGGTAAGACATGAAGTAAAGAAAGAGGGATAATGTGCCGATTTTCCGATCGAAGTATCCAGTGTAAACGAATCAAGTTTTACGACTCACTTTCACCCGGGCGCATTCCATTGCCATCTCCGCAAGCTGCAAAGCATTGTCGACAGTGAAGATGGAGTAAAAGTCGCCAAGCTTGAGGCAGAGCCTGCATTTTCCAAGCTTGAGAGCCATATTGATTTGCTCTCAAGAAACTTCATGTCATTATCACATTACATCTGCAAAATAAACCACATGTATCAGTTATAAAGGCACAAATAAGTATTTATAATAGCGGCAAAACTAAAGAATTTTACTTATGATATCACTGTTTTCTTTCCAAGTAATTTATAACATATTTTAACCGGCATTCACCTCACGAAAATTCACCGACCGATACCGATATCACACACACAGACAAATTAAAATCACACAATCACACTCAAAAGCAGGGTTGCCAATGCTAATTCATCAAAATCCCCAAAATTCCTGATCGAATTCCCCAAATTGGGGAATAAAAATCCGCTGATTCCCCACAAATTCCCCTCAAAAGTTTTTTATAAAATAAAACTATAATCAATTATTTAAATAATATTGATTGTTTATCTTTTATATTTTTTCCATATATTAGTCGAAAGCATTTTGTTCGAAGGGTTCAACTTGACACTGTCGCCCAGTTTTTTAATCCCTTCCTTTGTAGCCATTAATGATACTATAGTATCTGTATTCAATCTATTGCGGTTTTCAGTTTAAACATTTTTAAAGACACTAAGCACTCGACTGATGCATTTGATAAATGCAATATCAGCAATAATGAAATAACAATTTTTATGTTTGAGGATAGGTATTCTCCCGCAGCGTTTTTCATGCAAAACCCTTTACCCCGGTAACATTCATTATCAATGCTATCTTCATGAACTTCAAGACCATGTTGATGAAAATCCAGCTTAGCGTGAGTTCGCCACTCATCTTCTAATTTTTGTACTGACACAAATTTATAAAGCACTGGACTCAGTACAGGCACCAGTGATTTAATTTGAAACTGTTGAGCTTCTAATGGACTAGAAACAGATATAATAGAAAATAAAGGATCTCGGAAATCAAATATCTTAATAATGTCCGACGTGAATTCCATATAAAATTCTTAGTTTTTTTTTTTTTTTTTTTTGTCATTTTATTATTCGTTCAGAAAATTTTATTTAAATATCATAATTTATATAACTACATAAATATTTACAACTTAAAATTAACTACAACTAAACTATTAAATAAAAAGAAAGTAAAAGAAAACAACAAAAATTATACCCTTAATTTAGGCGTCAAAGTATTCGTCCGCATCATCAAATTCTTAGCATGTCTTATAGAAATCTGCAATAGCTGCAAAATGTACCTCGATTTTCATATTTTTTCAAATCTTCCATATTCTATCCAGCCTTCATGCTTTATGATTTAAAAAAATGTTGTTATCGATTATAAACGATGAAATATTTCCCAATTTGTGTCAAATGCCAAAAGATGTCAAAATCCCCGCATTTTCCCCACATAATGCCAATCCCCAATAAATCCCCAACCAACTTGAGATTCCCCGCAGTTTGGGGAATTCCCCACAGATTGGCAACCCTGCTCAAAAGACAACTTTGGCTCTCCTGCCACAGCTAACGTAAAGCGTTTAGTTGTCAACATTGTCAACAAATCACCAATCATTAAATCTGGCGCCACTAACGACGTTGAAAAAAAGGCTACATAGGCATAATCACTACGTAAATATTAAATTAAACTTTGTTTTTTCACAAGAAATGTAATATTTATTGATTACTGGAATACCCGTGCTTTTGACATGAATACAAACTTTCACTGACTACGCCATATAAATATCAAACTTTTGGCGTATTCATAAACACAACCTTTCTTATATAATTCTTCGATAATTTGACTGGTCCTAAGCTTGAACCTAGAAACATTTATTTTTTAATTCATGACCATTATAGCAATACGAGCACGTTTTGAAGGGATACCAGAGTTCATATCCCATACGTCGCAAGCAGTCGTAAGAGATGAAAAAATGTCTGATACTCTGATTGTCTGTCAAAATATGACATCACAACAAACATCTGTCACTGTCAATCCTCCACCAGCTGTTGAGCTGTTTACTGTTTACAATTTTCAATGATTTCATTTTTGTACTGAAATACTAAATCTAATAATTTGCTTGAATGCAAGATAATTATGGAAGGACATTTATTCATTTATAAAGAAGACGATTACATGTATTAAAATGGAGCTTTACGTAACAGGCTCTAATATTTTTAATCAATGGCTCTGTGACGACTTTGTGATAAATGAATTTAGAATTTGCTCACCCTCCAATCATAAATTAGAAACTGATGGAAACCGAACAATTCTCCTGCAGATTAACTGGTCGTATAACATTTTGCAAATAAACGATACGCTACACATATCAGGAGCTTGGGATGGAAAAGAAAATCAGTTTATTAAAGTGCCCTTACCAAATGATTGTGTTAAATCCAAAGAAGAACTATGTATTACAGGCAATGATTATAAAATTATTGTAGTTGATAAGAAAATGAGCATTATATGGGTGCTAGATTTAAAGACCAAAGAATTTAAAAATCTAAACTTTCTTATTGAAGAACCAATAGAAGATGGTACAAAAAAAAAGAAGTTAGATGATAATGTTTCAAAAGTTATACTTTCAAGTGATTCATGCTTGTACTTGACACAAAGAGGATATGTGTATAGTGGAATATTACCAAGTTATGTGGACACAGGGCATTGTACGGGAAAAGTAATTGATGTCCAGTGTGGCTATGAACATTTCATATTATTAACTGAAGAAGGTAGAGTTTATACTTGGGGTAATGGCAGGTAGGTTGTTACACATATTTTGTAAGTTTGGGGGCATACCACTTAATAAACCAAAGCTTTAATAATCAGATCTTGTTTTTGAAGCCATTTACTGTATTGTACTTGTAGAAAAACACTGAATCATGTTATTATTCCTTCCTTCCTTTCAGGAGGTTACAGTTAGGACATGGTGATATAAGCAGTCTTGAAATACCCACAGAAGTAAATGCACTAGCTGGTATAAAAATAATCAAAATTAGTGCTGGTGGCTGGCATTCTCTAGCACTCAGCGAGTTTGGTGATGTCTATGCTTGGGGCTTGAATGACACTGGCCAACAAGGAATCAAACATTTAAATGAAGAACATAATGAAAGCTTTTCTGTTCCCACACTAGTCAGTCTATTTGATGAACAAGGCATAGAGATTACAAGAAATGTGAAAGATATTGCTTGTGGATCTAAACATTCAGCCCTACTTTTAGATGATAATACAGTATGGACAGCTGGGTGTAACAAATATGGTCAGCTGGGAATATCAGAGCAAAAATATCCTTCTTCAAACTACTTCAGAAATGTGTTTCAATGTGATAAGGAAGATAGAAATTATTCACTAATTTGTGGACCATGGAATACTGTGATATGTTGTACATTTGTAAAAAAATCATAAATTAAATTTAAAATATAACAATTACTTTTTAGTGGTTGTGTGACTTTTTATTACCTATTAAACATGTCTACCTAGTAAAGAACGCCTTTTGTTTTCTAAAGGGGTAGGCAGTACCACAGAAATCATTTAACTGCCCTGTGTACAGAAGCCAATATGCTCAGAGTTCTGGACTTGGCATATTGAAAAAATCTTTGTTTATAACTAGAATAGGTACAAGGGACTTGTAATTTGAAGTCTGGTAGCATATTACATGTTTTACTACAACAACTTCCTCCTTGTACTTTGCATTTTGCATCTGCTGATCTGCTTTAGGAGAACATTCTGTCCAACAAAACAAAAAATGTAGAGTCAGTGATGCAAAGTGTTATTAAGTAAATATGGTGCTACGGTTTATAGAAATTTTTATAGTTAAAGAAGTTATAAAAACATTATTGCAGTTATAATCAGATAAGAAAAAAAAGGTTCTTATTATCTATAATCTCCTCTCATAGAGAGTAGTTATATTCCTTGTCTATGATCATCTTATCTTTATCCGTCAACGGTCAGATTGGTCTTACGTCAAACTGACAATTGACTACCTACGATCCCGAATTCTCGAGCTCCTGCCTGACTTTTCTCTCAATTTATCAATCAACGAATGAACCGCTTTATTTTACTTTTCTTTTTTATTTTGGCAATGTGAAACCAGTGTAAATAGAATTATTTGAACACATTATATCACGTAAAACATTATAGTAATGAAATGCAGAGGAAGACTGCAAATTATTGAGTAGAAAAGACTCGATGTAAGTGCACATATACATCTAAAAGCTGGAGTGAGAAGCTTTTACGCAGTCTATTTATTTGTCTGCGAAAATATAACAATTACAGAATGATGAACCAACAAGGCTTAGAGGATATAGAAATGGCTAGACAAATGACGACAAATGGATGCTTCAGTAAAGCCTTTGACTTGTATATTATGGCTTTCGAGAAGAATGTAGCAATTAAATCAGCATATGAAAGTGAATTCCGTTTGGTGATGACTCAATTGAACGAGGTTCTGATGACGGCCAATAAAATGGAAGATGTATTTATCAACTACACACGCGCTCTAATGACATTCCCTAACAGTATTATTATATTAAATGACATGGGCAAATTCCTCTTCAAATGTGGATTCTACGAAAAAGCTTGGGAGCATTTTGAGGAGGCACTTAATTTAGATTATACCTATGTAAATGCAGAAAAAAATTTCAATTCTCTTAAAAATCTTCTTGTTGAGCGCTGGCACTTCAGGATGCTTAATGACAAAGTCCGAAACGAAGCTTACCGTGCCGCCATACATGAGACAGTTATACCTCGTGTTGATACTATTCTGGACCTGGGAACAGGCACAGGCTTGTTGACAGTGTATGCATCTGAATGCTCCCCGAGGATTATCACTGCTTGTGATGGTTCTAAAGTTATGAGTGACTTGGCAACTTCAATTACCCAAGAAAATGGGTGTGAACACTGTATCATTGTCAATAAACTGTCAACAGAGATGCAGTTACAAGACGCAGGTGGTAAGAGAACACTGTTACTAACAGAGGTGTTTGATGCAGGATTGTTTGGGGAACATGTTCTTCAATCTCTTATCCATGCTTGGGAAAACATGCTGACAGATAAAGCCAGGGTCATTCCCAGTAAGGCGGAGTTCTTTATAATTGGTGCCAAATGTGATTTTCTGCATAAAAGATATCAGCTGTGTTCATCAATCAAAGCCACTCTAAATGTTCAAAATATGAATGTGCATGTGTTGACCTTTGATGAGACATATGATTGTGAAGATGTGCATTTTTATGGTGATGATATCAAGTACATCACAGAGGCCAAGTCTCTGGTGTGTGTGGACTTCAACAACTGCCAAGAGTTAAAGAACCTAATAGAGATGGACCATTGTGAAGTTGAGATGGTGGTGCAAGAAACTGGTGAGATTAATACTGTGATTGGCTTTTTTAATTTATATTTAACAGATAATGTTACTATAACTACAGACCCCAGATCTGACCGGAGAGCTAATGCATGGCAACAAGCAATCTTTTATGATAAAATACCTGTACAAGTGGTGGAAAATGATATCATCCCAATGTATTTTTCACTAAATGGTGGCAAGTTGACTATGTACAAAGATGATTCTATTATCAGAATTTCCCCAGAAACAATCAGATTCCTAAATGACATTGAATATGTAAATACAATAGCTGGATGTATTGGGACAACCTGCATTTATCTAGGACAGATGGCAGAAATGTCTCAAATAACTGTAGTTGACTTGTGTCCGTTTCCTGTGTTTGGCCTATATCTGTTGATGAGGGGAGCAAAGTCACTGACATGCTGTGCTAAAACTGACAGTGATAAAGAATTTTTCGAAATAGTTTTTGAATGCAATAATGTCCCTTTGTCAAACATAACTATTTTGATAGGCGATGAGTGGTCACAAGAAGGCTTCAAGGATGAAAAGTTCCATGCTATATTTTGCAATATTTTTGAAGTTTGTGGTGAAATAGACTTGCGCTTGAAAGCAATGGCTGAGCACTTGAAACAGCACCATTTAATTCAGGAAGGGCTTTTCTTGCCCGCCAGCATTAAGCTAATGGGTCAAATAGTCAAGAGTCATTGGCTGGATATAAACAACAAATTGTATGATGAGAATGTCAGCAACTACAAGATATCTAAGCACTTGAACCCATACCAAGTGACACAGAATTTTTGCATTGACTTCGGCCATTTGGAGTACACTCCATTATCAGAGGTCTGCGTGTTTGGAACAAGTGATAGTACAGAAGGTGTTGAAGTAATTGATGTCCCAATAATTAAAGATGGGTTAGCCAATGCTGTGTTGTGCTGGTATTCAATAGAACTAGTGCAAGATCTGAAAGAAATAGCAACTAATAGAAAAAATTGTTTTATTGATGGAATTGTATTTATCACTGATCCGAAAATTCGGGTCTATCGTGGACAATCAGCTCCAGTACTGCGGAGCGTCGACTGTGACGGTGCATTTAAGTTAACAATGCACTTAGAGGAGTAGAAAAGACTCGGAAATTGTTTTTGACCTACCACTATGTGTAGTTATAAAATATCTGAATGATCTCATGAATTTAATTATTTTTTAAGAATTTTATCTTCTTTAGAAGAATGTCTAGTCTTTATTGATTAATTATTATAAATTCTGTCTATTTATAATATTTGTATTTGAGTTTAAAAAAACCAGTGATAAGTCGGATGATAGGAGCTTATCTTTTAGATAGCTACTAAGTAAAAATATGGACTAAGAAAGACAATAGGCTATGGAGAGCTGAGATGCTCAGGGCCAAGTTTACTAGTGCATGTGACATGCATGTAGTTTGGTAGATTAATAGTAGAGACTGCCCTTCCTTCAGAACTGATCTGTCATTACATATGGAAGGGCATGGGTGATAAAACCTTATAGGTATTGCCTATTGGAATTGTTGTTGAAATGGGACATTAAATAAAGAAACGGAAATCTGCGCGATATTTTTTACTTTTGGGATTACAAACAAAGAAAATGTGTTGGAAAATACAAAGAAACGGATCTCTGTCTGGTTCCACAATTATCAGAGTTACAATGAAATTAATAAATCTCCAATAATAGTGACGATTTCGAGAAACATTTAGATTCCTTAGGCAAACACTCCACTTCGTAGATTCTCATATTGTTAAATGTTACGTACGATCGGTGTTAGATGTAATCGTTAAACCATGTCATAATAACTGTAATCAATAAATAATAATAGATACTTAAAACAGTTTAAAATCTTTTGTCTTAGTAGGAAGTTACAATAAGTCTTATCTTATCATTATTATTTTGAAAAGAATATCAAGCCCATGTCCGCTTTTCCTGTGGTGTAGTCTACCCAACATCTACGCTGCGTAGATATTGCATATTTTAGCGCAAATGTTTTTATATGAATTGTTATTAATAAAGTAGAATAATAAACAAAATAGGTAATAGATTTTTTGTACAGGCGTTAACTCATGAGCAGTATTGATAATCATTTGTGCCAAATAAGGTATTCCATCAGTCCGCCAAATAGGTTTTTGCATTACTAACTACCACTACCTATAAACTGTCAAACACCGCGAGGACATCGGTGTCCGCACACCTATTGTTCTTTAATGACGGTACTCAAAGGAGTACTACATGAAATCATAACAGTGAAATAACGTCAGATCATTATCCATAAGTACCCACAATTTTAAAATTATACCAAATTGCGATACTGCTCTTGAGTCTTGAAATACTCATGCAGGTTATATACATATTTTAATTAGTGTATTTACTAAGGACATTGAAAAAAAGGCAGACATCTTGTCACTTAGAAATTATTGAAGCACCAAAATGTCAGTGGTGTACTTACATTGTGTGCGTGTACTTGCAACACCGTAATGTACGATGATTATGAAGCACGGTCCATGTCAAATTCAAATTTTTATTGTGTTTACACACGACTGATGTCTTTCGTGTCAGTGTTGTGTATTCTGCCAAAGAGTAAAGTAAATGTGTATTCTGCGTGTAAGTCAGTAGTAGCCGGGTGCTACAGTCGTTGTTTCAATACTGTCGCCCGTCTGTCTTTCAACGTCCTCAGTATTTACATACCTACAATTGTGCTTACAATGCATTGCTCTGCCATTATTTTCATTTTTGTCTGCTAAATCACTACTGAACAAGCGAACGATTACAATTCCTTGCCTTGCGATTAATGAATTATGTTCCCATAAATCAAATTTTAACTAGTTTTAGAGACTGTCAGTCAAGGATCGAATTTGGAAAATAATGCTGCGAGGCGACGAATTAGTAAAACGGCCTCGGTCGCTCATCGCTTCAGTAGGTAGGTGCGTATTTAGCGAAAGTAGATACGAATTACAATATAACAGTTTACGGTGTTAATGTAGTAAATGTACCCATTAATTGTATTTTGTTATTTGTTTATGAAGGACTCTTGTATGATTATTTTAGTACTTAGGTAAATTATTTACATACCTACCTATATAGTAACGTATGTATCGTGTCACTCACCGTTAGATGTGGGCTGTAGTGACCGACTGCTATGAAACGTGCCATGGATTTGATTTCCTCATGCTTGTCTGTTAGCAAAGATATCTCATTCTCAAATAATTTATTCATAACATCTAATAAAGGACGGTTTTCCTCTAGTTGTTGAGGTGTGTCCAAACATCGAGCGCGGCTTGCAGCCCTGTGATTGGACTATCGCCGCGCACGAACATGTAGCTTGGAGACCGTCTGCGGTGCAGTATGAGGTCGACGCAGAGCTACAAAACACGGAGCCGCTTTCATTGTAGTTTGAATACGAAATAAAAAGAGCAGCGTGTCTCGGACTGAACTGCCGCGCACCTTGCACACCGTGTTGTGACCAAACACGGCTTTAGACAACACATTATACTACCCATTGCAGTTATGAAGGTCAATTAATGTTTCCGCATATAAGATATTATGCAATAAAGAAATGTATTTCTTTGATAACGAGGTTGATTTGAGAGTATGGTAATAACAAAAATGAATAAAACAAAGGTATAGTTCAGGTGGCATATATTACAAGCACAAAATGTAGAACAAGCCGGCCGCCATATGGGTGTCCAGACCCGGCGGCGTTGACCGTTCCCATACGTGGTTGCAGCCACGGGCTCGACGAAGAGGCTTTGACATCCCGAACAGTTCCTACACGCCTATCGGTCGTGCACGGGTAGTCTCTGCCTCACGAACAGGCTTAGTCAAAGAGACCGAAGCCCATGTCGTCGTCGCTCTCCGATTCTTCCTTCTCCTCCTTCTTCTCCTCAACAGCAGCAGCGGCCGGGGCGGCAGCTGCAGCGGCGGGGGCGGCGGCGGCAGCGAACTTGCTGGGGTCCTGAGATACAGAAACACAATTAATAATTTTTCATTGTAACTTTCGTGAGACATACTAAATAAATTATTATGTTTTCGGCTTACTCACGTAATAATTTGACGAGGAACTAAATAAATTTTCATTTAAAAGTTACAACTATTTCTATACTTATTAAAATATTAAAAAAATTGTTTCTTCAAAGTGCCAGTGCAATATTCTTTTGACAACATTACACTAGGATAATTTTGAAGACTTTAATGTTGTCTGAAAGCGAAGCCATAGAACTAATATAAAGTTCAATGGTATTAGAACAGACAATAACACATTTTGAGAATTTGTTCTATATATAAATAACTATGCTATGTGTCATGAATTATTTACCTTGATGAACTCCTTGATGGTCTGAGCCTCCTTGAATTCAACCTCGGTGACGGCAGCGATAGCCAGCAAGTTCTTGAATCCGTTGACAATGGAGTGAGGAGCAGAGGCCACAGTTGGGTAACCAATGGCCAAAGACAGCGCAGCTACATTAGCAACACCAGCCATGAACTTCTCGCGAAGATCCTCAGGCTTGATGTCCAGGATAGCTGGCGCAAAGATGGTGCCGGAATCGTAGACCTTTATGAAAAAGTTACATGAGTATTACGATAAGTAATTCTTGTGAATATAAAAAATTGGTGTTTTATTTAGGTTTTTAGTGTCTGCTGTAAACTTTAGACTAAATTAAGAAATCAAGATAGTCTTAAGATCAACACAGCAAATACTTTCCCAAAGATAAATTATCAGAAGGCACTAACATGTGCAGACTGTACTCAACACTTTGGATTTGAACTATTGAATCAAATTAAGTGCCCCTTCACATTAGGACATTAGCAGTGCGACAGTAGGAGCGGTGGAAGGGCTTTACTTTACCTTATCCGCAAAGACCAGGAAATGGCAAAACTACTTATATTGAAGAACTATAGAATGTCTAAAATATGTAAGTAAGAGATACTGACCTGCTTGACAACAAGACCATACGAGAAGGGAGAGATGTTCAACATGTTGAGAAGGGTGGCTTCGGAAGCACCGACCTTGTCACCAGGCTTCAGGATGTGCACATCGTTGATGATTTCAATGGTACCTGGAAAAATATTCAAATCATTTAGAGCAATGATAAATGCAAAATGGTAATAGGTAAGGTGTTCTATTAGTTTTATATTATTATTAAAGAAAATTGTTGTATTTTTTCTTTCCACATACTATGTTTAAATTTTTAGAAAATGAGATAGTTTTTGTATCCTCAAAATGCCGGTGCAAAGCATACTGATCAAAATCTCACACCAGGATAAATTTGAAGAATTTAATGTTGTCTGAAAGCGAAGCCATAGAGCTAATATAAAGTTCTATGGTATTAGAACAGACATGATAAGAATGACTAGAACATGAATGCTTACCCTTGGAAATCTTGGTGGGAATGGAGAGAGCCTGGAAGAAAGAGGTCTTCTCAGGACCCAGACCGGTGTTGTGGGCAGGGATGACGACGGACAGAGGGGCGATGGCACCAGGACGGGCAGGGGCACGCACTTTGTTCTCCAGCAGCTTATCACGGACGTCAACGAGGTCTCCGCGGGTGAACACGAAGCCAACATTGCCCTTGATGTGTGGCAACAGTTTCTCAAGAGCTGGGTTGGTGTCCAAGTGGTCCTTGATGGCTTTGCGCATCATGGTGTTCTTGCCCATAAGGACGATGCTGTGACCACGCAGCGAGATACGGATCTGCTGCATTTGGGTCGAGCCTACGTTGTCTGCACCCACGATGAAACATTTTGGGTACTCGTCTAAGAGTTGCTGGATAAAGAAAACGCAAGATCAGTAAAAATTATAATAATTAGGTTCAAGTTGAGAAGTATCCAGTATCAGTTAGTGTTATTGATACAGATGAACAGGCATATATCCAGTTGTTATTGCCTACGAATTGCTTGGACATGCGAGCAGGGTCTTAAGCAGACGCATGTCTGAGCTAAGCCATCAGCGTGATTGCAAAATCATTCAAGAGTAAATATAAAGCGGATGGCTTTAAATACACCGTATTATAGACACTAACACAAAATGTGGTGAACGTGAAGTGTGATGATGAGATATGATCTCAGAGAGATATTGTCTGCTCTAGACTACGAATGTTTAGAACATCTAGTTTCACTAATACGCGTTCAATATGGTAAATTGAGGTTAGGAAAGTAAAAAGTTCATAAAAGAGGTAAAACTTACGATGATTTTGGTGAAGTAGTTAGTCTTCCAGGTAGCCTTGTCCTCCCTACCCATCTTGGCGTGTGGTGTAGGGACTTCGTAGAAATTTAAGGACTGTAAAAGAAAATCATAAAATAGGAACGATGCGTCATGTAACTAGCGTTTTTAAGTAAAATATTCGTTGCGCATATAAAATCATATTATTGTTCGACAAAGTAGACCACATTATTAATATTGAACACATGATTGATGAAATAAATTAAGATTTAATTATTTAAAAACTCACCAAAACCAAACGCACTTAATTCAGTGCGGGACAACAAATGATAGAGGTAGAGTTGGGACTTCTCATAGATTAGTTAGGCCGTTGACATTTAAATGAAGTCTCATATAATTGACAATCGACTAAGTACAGATTTCTATGGATATTGATTTTTGGTTTTTATTGATAAAATAAATCTCTATTGATTAATAACAAAGTATTTATCATACTCATTCATTTATAAAGTATTAATTAAATTATATTATATCACAAATATTAATTTGTTACTAATTAGTAATTTGTATCATAAATGTATTTTATCACCATAATTTGTAGTCGGCATTGAAATTCGAGAATTATGATTCTAATCCTTTGGTAATTTTCTTTATTTGGTTTTGACTTTGGATCAGCTAATTTCTTGGCAGTCCTATCGCAGTCATTCTATGCAACGACTTCGTACGAGTTCGTATAAGTATACCTTAGTTTCGATAAGATGTAAGGACTAGGAAGTTAGGAACACATGTATTTATATTATGCACATACGTAACACTTAATATTATTAAATATTGTTTGTGAAACTCTGCGTATGTCTGATGCGCTGCAAGAAATACACACGTTTTTCATAATATTCAATAAAATACAAATATATGATTTATTTACGTATGTCAAAATTTAGAAACTTGCCAATATTTAAAACAAAAGTAAGTTTATTTTAACAATGAATATTTTCTACTAGATATCGAAATGTATAAGAATTTGGTCCATTCGTCATCGACTAATTTTTGACATATTTGACTATATCCAACACTAGACAAAACGTATCTTTGTTAGTGTTATATATCTATGGTTATAGTTGATGGAGACCAAAGACTACTAGAGTATGATGGAGATGGAGTATGGAGACTTCAAAATCTTCACGTCAAAATTTCTGATCTGAAATCTGAAATGACATTACCTGTTAACCAAAAATAAATCGTAATTCTACGGATTTATTCAGTTTAATTCGCAATTTATTGTATGTTCGGTGTGTTTGAATAAAACACAAAATGTCGTTTGTGTTTCGAAAGCCGAAAAAAATTCAACGTCGAATGTTTTGCGCTGATGATGATGAGGATGGGGAACCAGAAGCACCGCCGCCGCCAGTCATCAGCCAAGAAAAGGAGAAAGAGAAGAAAGAAGTAAAATCTGTGAAGAGTACAACTCTATTGAGTTTCGCTGACGAAGGTAAAGTAACAATTTAACTCGGGTTAGAAGTCAATAACAAGCCAATAAGTCCAATAACAACGGTTTGATTTTCATGTCAGTGAGTGATTGTTTGGTTTATTTACTTTTTAATCAATTTAGTGTATTCACTCATTTTATTCTGAGATGGAGGATCTTTGTGGATGCCCTTTGTCCCATCTAGTTGGTTAAATCCTCTGCACACTCATATATTTTTACACTACATTGAGACAATGTTTTCTATAATCAAAATGCAATATATTTTATTTTATTCAATCTCCAACTTAGACCTTAATTTTGTTTATAACTACATACATATTTACAATAAATTAATATATTTAATAAAATTTACATAAATGCAATATATTAAATCTGATCTTACTTTGGAATTCATGTCATTAGTGTAAAAAATTAGTGTCAATGTGTCAACAGCTTCTTGTGGGAAAACATACATACATACATAACTTCACGCCTGTCTCCCATGGGGGTAGGCAGAGACTAAGGAACGCCAAACGTCTTGTGGGAAAACTAAACAAAATAATATAATATTAGCTTCTACCTATATAAACTTCACCAGTACTACCAGGAAATTGTAAGAGAAATATACTTTTAACAAATATACCTCTTACAGGTCTTTACTTAAAAAAAATATTTATTTTTATTTCCAGAGGAAGAAGGAGAAGTGTTCAAAGTGAAGAAGTCATCTCAAAGTAAGAGACTGGCTAAGAAGAGAGAGAAAGAGAAACAGAAGAATGTGAGAACAGATGGTGATAGTAACAAATATGAGAGTAGCATGCTGGAGGTAAGGTGGACTTTAGTGGGAATTACACTCACACTTATTGGAGATGGTTTTTGTAAACAGCACTACAGCAGACTCACATACTCATTCATTGTTACTAACATTTTACTGTTAATTTTTTAAATGAGGGCAGAATGATAGGCATGTAACAGGGTTGTAGTAAGACAAAAAATAATACCTTTCCTACAGTCGGGTAAAAAGTGTTCTCTTGTCTATACAAGACTATTCTTGTACCATGTAAAGTGAAGTATTGCTCATTCTATGTTCATTTCACTTTTATTGTTCACATTTATTCAATTACTTTGAGTGTAGGTTTATAATAAAATATGTGTATGGTAAGTCATTTAAAATGTACACAAAATGTAAAGTTAGTTAAAACTGTTTATAAATCATTGAATTATAACAACAATAATACTGTAAATCAAATATAAATCTAGGAAAAGAACAACCACACAGAGGAGAATAGTGAGAAACCGAAACCTGGGAAGAAGAAGGTCACGTTAGAGGGGCTGATACTGTCCGGACGGGAGGCACTTGCGGCCGACGGGGCGGGAGACGTGTCTGACGACAGCGCAGACGCGGACGAGGAGGCTGAGGAGGACGAAAGGGGGTTCCATCGGTACCGCGCGGAGTCCGTGAGGGCTGCGCTCTTGGGGGCGCCGGGCCGCATACCCGACGCCGCGCTCATCCACGCCGCACGCAAGACCAGACAGCAGGTATGAGAGGTGAGGGACTAGCGCTGGCCGGCACCTGACTGCGGTTCATCGTCGTCTACTCCCGCATTGAATTGATTGTTCGGCTCTTGATTCATGACTCTTCGGCTTCCATTTTCAGTAGCCAATTTGATAACACTAGGACTTCTGTATTTCATCAATTATGTAGTCCAAACCTGTTGTGTTTCGGTCAAGGAATTAGATAATGTAATTAATCGAGTTCCTAGAGTCTTCCAGCACAATTTCTTCAAGCATTTCAAAATGCCTCTTCTTTATTCAAATCAATAAGATTGCTATTGATATTTGTCTATATGGATGCTCTTCTGCCAAATCATGGTATAAATTTGATAAAACTTCATAATCTTCTTTGTTACTACTACTGTAAGTAAACTTTCTTCTTCTCAATATAAAAAAAGTAAACAAACGTGAAAGTCTTGATAGTTTGATACTCTTTATTCCACAGGTTATGTAGCTGTAAAATGTTATTTGTTTATCTGTGCTGCGTGGCAAGACCTATGATTAGTGGCAGCCTTGCTAACAGACTGTACATTGTTTTATTTAATATTTTTCTTCAACTTCTTAACACCCAATGTTTGTATTATTGATATTTATTTTTTCGTTTAAACTTTTATATTAAGTAGTGATGGTTGATGGTCTTGTCACCAGCCAATGCTGAACCGAAATCCAATATTTTGTAATGTTTTTAGGCTCGCGAATTAGGCGGAGACTATATTCCGGTGAAGCCGTCAGAGTCGGGGCCTGGGTCCCGGCTGGTCAGAGATGACGGCTCCGGTGACGATGAGGAGGAGGGCAGAATACTTGTCAGGGGGCTGGACCTGCCAAGTGATAAGCCCAAACGTAAGTAACTGACTAGTGTTGATTTAAGAAACTGATCGGAGGCCTCGTTCGTCGCTCTAATTGGTTGATTTATTGGTGCCGGCCAATCAGAGCGCCGAACACGTACTCGTTTCGATTACTTTCAACGTAAAACAAACCCGAAATAGACATACTTCTTGTTTTATACCGACAGGTGGCACGGCAGCGGTTTCTGAAGAGGAACTGGACAGCGAGGCTGAGGAGTGGGAGGAGCAACAGTTGCAGAAAGCCAGGCCTGTCATCGCGGATCTGACTGGTCTGATGACATTCTATACTATTCAAGACCACTCAACAAATGTACTGTCTACACTGACGGCCGAAGTTAATAACCGGTCGAAATCTAAAGTCTCAGGATTAATCTGAGTGTTTGATGTAACACGCTTGTAACTCCTCTAGTGTTGCGAGTTTCTGTGGGCGGCACCGATTCCTTGCCTCTACTCCTTAGCACGAGTTTGTTCTACATATAAAGCTATCGAAACGAGACCGCGTCCGGCGCTATGATTGGTCGGTTCATTGGAGCTGGCCAATCAGAGCGCCGAATGCGGTCTCTTTTCGATTACTTGAATCGTAAAACGAAGTCGTACTAAGCCCTCTACTCCTTTCCAACCTGTGTAATACTTAATTCAAAGATTTTAGATTGAGCTCGATTATTAATAACGGCCGTGTACGGAGCTCTCATTATACTATACTTATGCTTCAAATAACGTTGTTACGTAAAACTGTTGTCTCCAACAAGTGTTATTATTTATGCTTTCTACTATCTATTGGTCTTCTCAACTTGAGTGTGTTTCATAGGTTATTGACATACTATAGCCCGTATATCCCCAAACGGTCACCAGTGATCACTGTCCACTACCTATATTATAGACCTTATTTCCAATGTTTAGAGACTACTTTTGTATGAACAAATTTAGGGGATGATTTTCAACAATTTTCAACAGGTTAAATAATAAAATGATTCTATACATTTTATTGCACTCTTAGAAATTCTTCTGTGGTTTGTGGGAATTGAAGCATATTTATGCTGCTGCATAGGATAAAAGTGAGTTTAATAGGGTAGATGACTAATTTTTATTTTAATGTCCGTCTAATTATTTTAAAACATTACACACGTATTTTTTATTTTTTTACAGAAACGAATACTTTCGACGATGTATTGATTTGAAATGTCGCGTGACGTCACTTCTCAGTACATTTTATACGCAGAAATGACGTTTTAGACCCCACTTTTAAACTTTGATTCGTTATATCTAAGTATTGTTTTATTATACAATAAAATAAAAAAAATACGTGTCTAATATTTTTTCATTACCTGACGGACTAATTAGATTTTTAATTTTTATACCCTGTCATCATCCCTATTGTGTGGTAAGAAAAGCTACGAACTTTTAATCAGAAGACTATTGTGATTTTCAAGGATTGTAAACCTTATAAACAAGGTGATGATGATTAATTCTGAAACTTAAACTGTTTGTAATAAATACTGTAATTGTTTATTGCAGGTGAGAGTGTTATGGACGTGAATCCGTTCTCGGTAGCTCTGCCGGCGCCTCAGATGTCGGCGCCGGAACACTTGCGACCTCTGACGACTACGGGCACACAACCACCATCGACCGCTAACGAACTTGTAGATGCACTTAAGAATAGGTAAAATTGATAAACTGATTTAGATTTCGTATTTTACTTTTCTTTCAAATACTTTTCTAAAAACCACATTAAAGTCCAGTCAATAGCGAGATAGTAGCGGTTAAACATACATACGGGTTAAACAGACTACCTCCCTATTTAACATAACATAACAACACGCCTTTTATTCCCGAAGGGGTAGGCAGAGGTACACATTATGCCACTGTACAATGCAACACCCACTTTTCACTATATATGTTATGGATCCCATGTAATAGGGGGTGAGCCTATTGCCATATACTGGGCTCATATCCAGACTCCGTGCTACTACTGAGGATTTTTAAAAACCCGGTGACCACTCGGCCTATGAGGCAGTTTAACTCCCTATTTAACTCGTTTAAAAATGAGATTATAATTGAAATTTTATTTATATTACTTCAGGTTTCGTCTCCCTGCCATTAGAAAGTACATACATAAGTACTTAAACTTTGAAAATGTCACATTGCTATTTACCATCCTTGCAGTCGGTTCTTACTTCTATTAGAGAAATATTGTTACATTTGAATAATTATTTGTTCTTACAGGTTAGAAGAGCTTCAAGTCGAAAGAGACATAACGTCAAATACGCAGAAAGAGCTGAAGGAGAGGTTGTTGACCTCGGCTCGGATACGGGAGAGTCGGGCGTCGCGCTGCGGGGAACTGGACGCTGCCTACAGGAGGGCGCAGGCTATACGCGGGTACCTTACCGACCTTATCGAGTGCCTTGATGAGAAGGTAACTGAATTATGATCACATAATGTAATTATTAGTAGCTACTTCCACGCGATTCCTACTGAAGCCTTAGATTATGTTTTACGGTTAAAGTAATCGTAACGAGTACGCGGTCGGCGCTGTGATTGATTGGTTCATTGGCGCCGGCCAATCAGAGGGCTTAGTACGAGTTTCTTTTTCGTTTAAAGTAATCGTAACGAATACGGGTTCGACGCTGTGATTGGCCGCCTCTAATGAACCAACCAATCAGATCACAGAACGCAGTCTCGTTTCGATTACTTTAAACGAAAAAGAAACTCGTACTAAGGCCTCAGAGTGCCGAACGCGTATTCGTTTCGAATACTTTAAACGTAAATCAAATTTGTACTAAGACCTCTGTTCGGCTCCTATTGAACGTAGTGTGATGTTTGGAATTATCTTTGTTTGGAAATGTAAAAAAAATATTATGTTAAACTTGTGTACGTATGTACGTGCGTACGTATTTTTAATTTGTTTTACCTACATACTTTTAAATAAGGTTGAAAAATTATGTATAGTTGCGACAATATCACATCAACAGCTTGTGAGCGGTATATCGTTTGCGCTGCAGCGCTTATACAAACATGTACACGCATATTTGTATCCGTGTGCGTACGCGTGCGTGTGTTTATTTGTACGCACGCGTTTTTATGCACATTCATATGAAATTACTTACGCACCGTCGTGTAAACATCACTCATGGTGGCAGTGGACTTTTGACCTTTGACTGTACATGATAATATAATAAAGCGTATGTATGTTTGTTAGCTGCCGCAGTTGGAGGCGTTGGAGGCCCGAGCACTAGCGCTCCACAAGCGACGCTGCGAGTTCCTCATCGAGAGACGACGCGCCGACCTGCGCGACCAGGCGCAGGACGTACTCGCGCCGCCAGGTCACTCTACACTCTCAAACCAATATCACACAATTTTATGACAATCTCAAAAATCCACTTTCTGTTATTGAAGACTATCCATCTCTGAGTCAAAATCAAATGCTTTCAGTAGTTTTTGCGTGAAAAAGAAATAAACATGTATGTCTATCTTTATGGACAATGACAAGTTTATGATTGTGTTTTTTTTATATTTGATGGGCCGACGTTTGACCACTATCTATATCTCGCCTGTTTGATAATACTTAGGTCGGGCGACAAAGGGGACGGAGAACGAAGAGAAGACGCGTCGTGCAGCGGAGCGCGAGGGCCGGCGGCGCGCGCGCAGACTGCGGCGGGAGGCCTGCGCCGCCGCCGCCGGCGCGCTCATACCGCACCGCGACGGAGACTCCTCCGACGACGACCTGCCCCCGCGGGAACTGCATCACTACGCGCAGGAGAGAGGTACCGGACTCCTACAGACATACACGGGTGGATCTACTCGACCGGACTGATATCACGGCCTCACAGGAAACAATCTTGAAACAACGTTGTATTTCAACGTATGAGTAAATTTATATCTCTAATCACCAAATCCTAAATCTTCATAAGGTTGGATTTTAATTGAGTAAACGAATCACCTAATGTTAAGCAATAGGAGCCGTCCAAAGACATCTGTAATGCCGAAGGAGTTACAAGTCATTGCGTTAGGTTGGTATAATGCTAACGATGATGATGTTTACAATAAATGTTTCCGTTTCCAGAGTCGATCCGCGCGGCAAGTAGCTTAGTATTCAGCGACGCGCTGTCTGCGTGGCGCAGCGCGGCGGGCGTGGTGAGTCGCCTGGCGGGCTGGCGCGCGCGCAGCCCCGCGCTCTATGCAGACGCGTACGTCGCCGACTGTCTGCCCAAACTCATCGCGCCGTACGTACGACACGAGGTACGGTGTCTTCCTCGGTTAATTGGCTATCCAACACAAAAATAATTATTCGAATCAGAGGCCTTAGTACGAGTTTGTTTTATGTTTAAAGTCATCGTAACGAGTACGCGTTCGGCGCTGTGATTGGTTGCTTCATTGGCGCCGGCCAATCAGAGTGCCGAACGCGTACTCGTTTCGAATAGTTTAAACGTAAAACAAACTCTTACTAAGGCCTCTGACTTGTAGTTCTGGAGATTAATGTCAAACAAATAAACTCTTATTATAATTCGGCAGATTTAGATTAGAAGTCGGCATGTCCTTCTTAAGAAGAAACACTGAAAATACTCTGAGATTACAATCTGTTTTTAAAGTTCAGACAAATATGGAATTGTGAACCATTTAATCTGGCACTTGTTAAGTCTAGCACCCATTAAATCTAACCAAACTGTGTTTATTGTCTTTAGTTAATCCTCTGGAACCCGCTCGCAGACGAAGACAATGAAGACTACGAGAAGATGGATTGGTACAAGTGAGCATAATTATACATTTCTCCTTACTGCTAGCTTATCTTCGCCTGCAGTTTATCCTTAAACTGTCAAACACCGCGAGGACACCCGTGTCCGCACACCTATTGTTCTTTAATTGTGTCTATAATGACGGTACTCGAAAGGTTACTTAATGATTTATTTAAAGTTCATCTAGGTCCTGTGTCTGTGGAATGTCGGGATAAAGTTAGCTTATGTCCATTTATTAAGAATATGGGCTTCCTTCCTCTCCATAAAAGGAGTTTGCAATAATCAACTAACCTTTTTAGGAGTTCGAAATTTAATGAAAAAACAATAATTAAGCGCGGTCTTATTAAAAAGCTTCGTTTGTCGATTCGATTTGTTTGAACGATGTTAAACTTTTTATGATGAATATGTCCAGATCTCTTATGATGTACGGCGTTCGGTCGGAGCGTTCTGGCCAGGACTCCTCGGAGTCAGCATCGGATGGAGAGATCGAGCCAGTCCCAGTTACTGAGGCGGCAGTGAGGGAGGACCCTGATCTCATGCTCGTGCCTACCATCATCAGCAGGGTTGTGCTGCCCAAACTCACTGGTACCTTTCAAGTATTATTAAAGCTGCATCACCGTTTGAACTTATTTTGATGAGTGGAGTTAGAACCGTATGGTTTTTAGTCAGTAAGAGTCTGACATCTCCTTAAATATGTTATTTAGGTATTACCCATGGTGAGAGAAGCGATTTGGTGAACGATTGTCATTCCTTTTAAAAAGACCGTATTAATAGTTAATTTTTTGTTAGTTAACAACTAGAAATTGAATAAGTAAATTTTCGTATCGCCAGAGTTGGTGTCGAGTGCGTGGGACCCGATGTGCGTGCGCGCGTGCGTGCGCCTGCGCGCGCTGGTGCTGCGCGGCGCGCGCGTGCCGGCCGCGCAGCCCGCGCTGCGCCGCCTGGCCGCCGCCATACGCGCGCGCCTCTCACAAGCACTCGCCGCAGACGTCTTCCTACCAACCTTACCGCCCGCGTAATACATACTTTGTTTTTATTTTATTTATATATTTAAGCTTCATGCACAAGGTGTACATATGGTGGACTTAATGCCGCAGCCATTTTTGCCCAGTCTAACCTTTGGGTGATGCACAGAAGAGTTAAGTTGGTGTGAGCAAGAAGCAAGCAACACTTACTTATTTCAGAGATAAACATAATTATAATATATATATACTTACACACGAGTACAATACAATATACATGCATTCATACATTTTTATTTTCACATTTCTCTCAAATTGCGTTCGATTTTGTAAAAATAGTGTGATAAAAATTGTTTATAATGTCAATTCAATGACGATTTAGTATAAAAATAGCTACTGTGTTTATACTTTCTTATAAGTAAAAAAAATATATTTGTTGTAGAATACTGGAGGGATCTGGCGCGGTGTTCTGGCGGCGCTGCCTGGGCGCGGGCGTGCGCCTGTTGCGCGCCGCGCTGTGTCTGGCCGCGCCGCCCGCGCTACTACGCGCCGACCCTCTCGTACTCGCGCTCATTGGTAACGTACACTGTGTTTATTCCAACTGTAATGATTACTTTCCGATCTTTTTTTATGATTTTAAAATCTTAAATAAATATCAAGCAGAGAAACATAACATAACATAACACCACGCCTTTTATCCCCGGAGGGGTAGGCAGAGGTGTACATTACGGCACTTAATGCCACTGTATAATGTAACACCCACTTTTCACTATTTATGTTATGAGTCCCATGTAATAGGGGGTGAGCCTATTGCCATATACCGGGCATAATTCCAGACTCCGTGCTACTACTGAGATTTTTTGAAAAAGCCCAGTAATATTTTGCCCGACCCGGGAATCGAACCCGAGACCCCTTGCCCGGCAGTCGCAGTCAAGCAGAGAAACATTATGATATTTTAGTCATGAGACATGACCATGATTTCTTCACGGATTACGATTTCGACGGTTGCAATCGAGGACAGCTTGAGTCCCGATGTTGCTTGTTGGCAGAGTGAGTGCTCAACGAAAACCGCCTTTGCCTTTCCGCCACGCTCTCTGCTAAACTCAGAGAGACGGGTGGAGAAACCATCTTGGGTGTGCTCGCCCTGTCCAGAAGTTTGCTGCGTGCAATTGTCACTCCAACCCTATCACCACTGTTAGGGAGACTATCACTGGACCCAGGGTACACTACGAGGAGGTCTTCTGGCTCAGTACTCCTTATATGCGCGTATAGGTGTACCTTTTGGCACTCGCGTAACAACCTAAACCTCTTCTCTGCGGCGTATGAGACACTAGAAAATACATTGTGTCACGTAGATCTGCGTTCGTGATACGGATGAATGGATTAATAGAAGTGAGGGGTGTGTGCGACAGAGACGCTGTGCACGGGCGCGGGCGCGGCGGGCGGGCCGCAGCAGGCGCGCGCGGCCGCCGCGCTGGCCGCCACGCTGCCGCGCGCGCCGCACCATCTGCGCACGCTCGCGCTGCGCCGCCTCGCGCGCCTCGCCACGCTCGCCCTGCAGCGGCTCGACACCGACAACCCCTTGCATCTGTAAGTCTTCTTTCTCACTCTAATACTGAAAGGCTACTCAATTTTAAGTTGTACTTAAATACCGTGCCATCTGTCATTTTACAAACAATTTGTAGTGACAGAATTATACTTTAGCGCGACTTCAATTTCATACTTGCCAACTAGTCAAATTCAATACTTTTTAAGAACTATCAAAAACGACAGTTAACTATGAAGTATGTACGAGATTGTGTATTGTGACGTCACATTTTTTTAACGTCAAACAGTACCTATATTTATTTCTTAAAAATTTGCTGAAAAACTACTTTAATTAGGTTAGTCATAAAATCAATGAATGAAAGTGTGATTATTTTTTAATATTTTATTGTATTGAATAGTCTAAATAATTTATATTTGATTAAAAAAAGTAATTGGGTACTTTTTTTAATCAAATATAAATTAAAAAACGAGTAGCGTTTCAGTCATTCGCTACCCTTTTTTTTACTACTATTTTTATTACCCTACTAATAAGCCAATGCCAAATTGCACGACCGATTTCCTCTCTGACGATAATTGAATAATTTCCTCAGCGCAAAATAAATTATTTACTGTACTTTTCATTACAACAAAATATTCAAAAATAATCCTACTTTCATTAATTTTGACGAACTTCTGAATTTTTGAAATTTTCTAGGCAATTAACTAGAAATAAGACTGCATGGCATGGCACAAACCATGACCAGATTCTATGCGGTGGAGATAAATTCGTGTGTATTTTCAATTTATATCTAGCTATAACTTTTGTTGTTTATACATTAACTTACTTCCTAATAGTCATGATAACTTTATAATTATAAAATAAAAAATAATAAGTATTAGAAAGAATCTGGCCATGGTTCAAACTGGGATTATACTGCTTTGTAATTTTCTATTTCTTTATATTATTATTCTCACACAATATAACATAACTTCACGTATTTTATCCCTGAAGGTGTAGCCAGAGGCACATTACGGCACTTAATGCCACTGTACAGGGTATCACCCACTTTCCAATATTTTATGTTATGAGTCCCATGTAATAGGGAGTGAGCCTATTGCCATACACCAGGCACATTTCTGGCTCCGTGCTACTACTGAGATTTATTGAAAAAATCCAGTAATACTTTGCCCGACCCGGGAATCGCACCCGAGACCCCTTGCCGCACTTGTGACCACTCGGCCAACGAGGCAGTCATTCTTATTCTCATTCTATATTTTCTTACGATATGAAATCTTTTTTACAGGAAAGCGATAGAACAAGCGAGGGCAGTAATCGCAGAAGCACGCGCAGTTGAATGACACAAAGACAGTTCCACAACCCACACTAGGTGGCAGGCAATTTGACGTCACGACGCTTCGTGGTCATAATATAATACTCTACAATCCATTTTGAATCAGAGTAACTGGCTAATTATGTACACTGGCTGGATAAAGTCAAAAATTTAGATGGATATACATCTCCATATAAAGATCGGTTATTCTCCACAAGGTTCTCATGAGTATGGGGGAAATATTCGGTGCACCCAGGATGTGCCCCCTGTACCTGGGTAAGTGAATTTGTAACTAGAGTTCCCAACTTGAGGGTCCACCGGTCCCGCGCTCATAACTGTCACTACAAGATATACATCTAAATTTTTAAATAAAATAAAATCAGTTTAATATCAGCTGTAATACCAAAAAGTTGTCAGAAAGCCAGTGACAAGACAAAAATAATTTCAGAAATAAAATGTACATGGTGCTAACCAATAATGGAAAGTGTTGGTAATAAATAAGTAAAGATTTTAACATTTCAAGTATTAGATATAGAAGACCTCTCTAGGTCCCTTATCGAATGTAATCTGTGAGTCAGAAATGTCAATTTATAACAATAAAATAAGTCTCAATGGCATTTTGTTTCGCATGTAGTTAAATTAATTAATTATAATATTATTTACAGTATACGGTTAAGGTATGATTAGACTACAACACTATACACTCTGTGTATATATCGAATGTCTCTGGATGAATACGGGTGTCTATAATTCAAAAGTGTATTGTGACACGAGATTTTTGACACCTGATGGTAAGCAATTGGTGCCGCCCATGGACACCTGAAACACTAAGGCGTTACAGTGCGTTTCCGGTCTTTTGGAAATTGTGAATTTGAGAATTGTGGGGGATTCGGGGTTTGGGGAGACTGGGGACGGGGGTAATTGGGCCTCCGGTAACCTCAATCACACGACGAAACACAAAACGCAAGCGTTGTTTCACGTCGGTTTTCTGTGAGGCTGTGGTATCACTTCGGTCGAGCCGGCCCATTCGTGCCGAAACATAGCTCTCCCACACTTTTTATAATAATTAGTGTCGCATTATTCGCCATCTTGCCATCCGTATAGCGTAAACAGCTTTGTGTCGTAGTATAAACATACCTTTAAATTGTGTTACACATATTTCAAGTTAGTTCTGTTACCAAATCAATATGATTAGTAATTCTGCTACTGAACTGAAACAAACTATAAGTGCACCGTATGTAGTATGTACAGAGGCCAGGAGATCAACCTCCTTCAATCTGTCAAATTTATTCATTAGATTTTCGTCTTTATGTCAATACAATAAAGTTGAAATGTATTCAAGAAATTTGAAAGGATTTTTTTTAAGAGGCGAAAATCATCGAATATCTTCTCTCGCCTGGATGAGGCGGGAGGGAGTGTCAGACTCTTACCGACTAAAAACCATCCCGTTCCTACTCCTACCCTTCGAGCCGGAGCCCCGGTAACCTGTTAAGATCTCTGCGGCAGCGACAGGAAAGGATAGACCTGCTGACCACTGTGTATTTACAATATTTCATCACAATATTACAAAAGAAAAAAAAGTTTTGTTTGTATCCTATTCTTTGACTTGTGTCATTTTGGCCATTGGGCATTGGGCCAATCTTTTCCATCCTGCATATTATCCCACCATGAATAAAAAAATGCTAAATTGGTTTTTAATTTTCCTTCCTGTATGGGAGGTGATGAATGGAGTATGTAATAATAATATGTATATGATTTACTTTCGATGAGAAAATGATTTTAGTCTATGGACTTGTTAAAATTACATTATTTACGTCTAGCAAACAAAATCATGTCAATAAAAATAAAAACTATTTTGATTTATCCGTAAATAGGTCATTAAATATGTAACATTATGAATATAATAGTTTTTGTGTTACACGAAGTGTCTCAACAGTCTCAATGCCTTCAGGTTTCTTGCAATGATAAAAATATCTAATTGTAATATATGATAAGAATAGTGGTTGCTGTCACAGCATGGTCATTGTGAATGATTTAATGTACTTATTTATGTATACTTTGTATATAAGTAACTTAATTCATTTGTATGAGATTCTCAACAAGTATGAAAATAAATGATATGGGTACGTATGCGGCTTTTATTATAATATATATATTAATTTATATTACTTAACGTATCTGCATACCCTAAAAGAAATTAAAAGCGTGAGTTCATGTTACTAAAAATCATTTTTACATACCAATTACGACTATGAGACCTCTTTCTAAAGCAAGAACTCAAAGCGGTCTATTACGTAATGCATTGAATTATGATAGTAATTTACAGCAGTATTTAGTAAGGTATGATACAAAATTAACAATGTTCTGTTTGGCCGTTGAAGGGTATCACCACGTTTGCCAAGTGACAATTTTCCATCGTCAATGGGTAGCGGTTCTGACGACAGCTTGGTGCAATTGTGTTATGGAGCACCTGGTTTTGTACCCTTGTGTACCCTTCAACGGCAAAGTCACACAACATTAACTATAATATGTAATAACGAGATCGCAATATGGAACCTTAGACTTGGCACGACTTTGTTCATTACTTTTTAGAGATATGTAAAAGGTCGATTCGGGAAGTTGCTTGAAGAGAATATCAAATACAATTCTGACTTGTTATTATTTCTAACGATCCATTTTATTTTAAAGGTTTTCTTTTTAAACTAGCAGCTCCATCGAGACTTGGCTAGTTTTTTATGAGTTTTTTACAGAATGTTTTTGGTGGGATTATAGTAAACTCTAGCGTAGATCTGTGTCTCAGTTTTTATCATAGACTATACAATATATACCTACGATACCTCATGGATATATAGTCTTATCATATCAGTGCGATACACTGATACGATAAGACGTGCGATACCTACTGAGTTTATCATAGCTTTCGCCAGCTTTCGCCAAAGAGTATAATAAGTATAGGGGTAGCTTTCGCTATCGTGCCTGTCACTGTCACCATTGCCAGTAAAGATTTACTGTGGCTGTGGTTGCCAAAGAAAAAAATTATAAAACGTAACTATAAATATAAATTATAAATCTACAAATCAAGAAGAAAGTCATCCCAGTGGTCACCGCAGCGTAGCGCGGTGGCGCGTCGACGGCGGCGCGGCGGGGCCGCGTCGCGTCACGCGGCTCGGCAGCGCCCTATGCAGTACTGGCCACGGGATTGCTTTATTGTTTTTTTTTTATGATGTAAAGTTTTGACGGCTGAGTGACGGTTTGTAATAAAATAGTGTTTTTATATTTTTATTAAGTGTATTTTATAGTTATATTGTGTTAGTTTTAAGATTATTTTTGTATGCCTGGATGCAGCAGCTACGCCGGACAGAGTGCCAGCCTGCCGCACCCCTGGATGGGACTCTGGTAAGATGCCCACATTGCTCTCAAGCACGTTTTTTTTTAAGGGTGAACGGGGTCTGAGGGTTCATTTGGGCAAGGTACATAAACCCAAAAATGTAGCTCCTTGCCTAGTGTCAGCCTCAGCTCCTTCACCAACCCCTGTCCAGCAACTACAACTTTGGAAAACTTTATCAAAATTTAAAAACACAACTCCAGTTTTAAAGAGAGTTCCTCGAGGTGCAAGAGTATCCGTAGCTTCAAGTTTAGCACGCTGCTTTGGTCTTGTGGTTCGAGAGAACTCTCTAAGTGCTTGGGAGCATTTATTAACCTTTCCATTTAGGATTCTACATGTGCAGAAAGATTTGGCCAACAAAAAAACTTTAACGACCCAAATTAAAGATAATTGCTTTTCTCAAACCCAAACTTTCGACCCTAAATTATCAGTACACTTTTCTCACAAAGGTTTGCTGCATCATGTAGAGTCCAAAATAGCGGATGGCGATATCCGTGGTGCTGCTAGGGTTCTATTTAGTAGTGATGTGGTCGCTACGTACTCTGCAGAGGTAGTTACAACCCTGCAGAGTAAACATCCTTCCCCGGCAGATGACCTCATCTTTCCTGACCCACCAAACCCTCAACTCCATTCACTTTCTATTACTGCCCAACAGGTTCGCGAGGCCGTTGACTCCTTTCGAAATGATTCAGCTGGCGGCCTCGACGGCTTGACACCACAACATTTAAAAGATCTCGTGTGTTCGACCGCCGGGGAGGCTGGTGAGTCCCTTTTGAAGGAGTTGACGGCCTTAATCAATCTAATGCTCTCCGGCAATGTGAACGAATCCGTCATCGATGTCTTATACGGGGCTAACTTATGTGCTCTGCGTAAGAAGGATGGCGGTATTCGTCCCATTGCTGTAGGTTGTACATACAGGCGTATCGCAGCCAAAATTTGCTGCGCCTATTACAATGAGTCTTTGGCCAGCAAAATTCCAGCCCTCACAACTAGGCTTTGGTTGCAAAGGGGGCTGCGAGGCTGTAGTACATGCCCTATCCACATTTTTAAACAGTAACCAAGGTGAGGTCGTCTTAAAGGTTGACATTAAAAACGCCTTTAACTCCGTAAGCAGGGACGCCTTGTTGACTGAAATTCTAAAAGAAATCCCCAAAATTTACAGTTTTCTTTGGCAATGTTATAGAAACCCTTCAAAATTACTGTATAAGGACAATTTAATAGAATCGGCTGTTGGTTGTCAACAAGGAGACCCCCTTGGACCTGCCATTTTTAGTTTAGCTATAAATCCTATTATTCGTGAACTAAATTACTAATGGTATTTAGACGACGGAACTCTAGGAGGTGACGTTGACATTGTTTTAAAAAATTTGACTATATTAAAAGAAAAACTGAGTTCTATTGGCCTTGACCTAAAATCAAAAGGTGAACTATACATTCCTGACTCTACAAACAGACTAACGACTCTAGCAAAATATAATCAAATAGCTCCAAATATCAAAATTATTGATAAGTACCTACTCACTTCACCTCCTAGGTTCACCAATATTCGATGAATGTTTTCCTAAATTCATCGAGGACAAGATACAAAATTTCAATCATATTTCGGATAGATTACACAAAATCAACACACATTCGGCTTTCACCCTAATTCGGTACTGTTGTTTTGGACCAAAATTTACTTATATTCTCCGCGCTTTACATCTATGGAAACATTCACACATTTTAGAAAACGTAGACAAAATTATCAGACACACATTGTCATCCATATTTAATGTGGATTTGGATGACCGAGCTTGGCAACAAGCTACTCTTCCTATTCGCATGGGAGGGCTCGGCGTCCGCAAAATTTCAAGTATTAGTTTACCACCTTTTTTGTCTTCGGTCCACAGTACCTCTGAATTAGTCAGGAAAATTCTTTCTTCGTCACTGACCAGTTTTGAGGTGCCGTGTTTGACTGATGCAGTGGAAGCGTAGAAAATGGCTTGCCCACTTATCGATTTACCTGTTCACCCATCTTCTTAGAGACAGTGGGACGTGCCGCTGTGCAGTGTTATTCGTGAGTCTTTAATCAACTCGTCTTCTAATACTGCAGAGCGAGCTCGCTTATTGGCTGTGGGAGAATGGGAATCTGGATTGTGGCTTCAGGCACCCCCGTCACCCTTCATAGGTACTATGTTGGATGACATAACGTTCCGCCTAGCTGTATGCTTACGTTTAGGTGCTCCTTGTGTTTCTCCGCATTATTGTCACTGTGGAGAAAGAGTCGATGGCTTGGGACACCATGGTCTTTCTTGTTGCAGAAGTGCAGGCCGCATAGCTTGCCATGCCAGCATCAACGACATCGTTCGTCGTGCTCTTGCCTCTGCCGGTGTACCAGCCGTATTAGAACCTAATGGTTTGTTACGTGATGACGGCAAAAGACCTTTGGTGTGGGAAGCGACGTGTGTAGACACCCTTGCGCCATCACATCTTTTAAGCACCGCTGCATGCGTTGATGCAGCTGCTTCCGCGGCAGAGGCCCTCAAACGGCGTAAATATTCAAATCTAGTGGGTAACTACTGTTTTGAGCGGTTTGGGGTCGAAACACTTGGGCCATGGGGTCCCAGTTTTTCTTCGGACAGAAAATAAGGGTTGCCATTCAACGTGGCAATGCTGCCAGTCTTCTGGGAACTTTCCCCTGTGATAGTGATGCGGACGAATACTTTGACGCCTAAATTAATGGTATAATTGTTGTTGTTTTTTTTTTACTTTCTTTTTATTTAATAGTTTAGTTGTACTTAATTTTAAGTTGTAAATATTTATGTAGTTAAACGTAATTAAATGTCAAATGTCAACGTCAAGAATGTCATACAGCGCAGCGCACAGGCACAGGCAACGCATTGCCATAGAGTACTATTATTGTCTATTATATATGCGCATTACTTACTATACTCTTTGGTACAGCGCTCGCTTGTACCTTTTTTTTATTGTAGTGTTGGTAGTGGCCGCCATCTGCTCCCTTCCTTGCTCATGTTGAATTTTGCTACCAAACCAAAACCAAACATAATCGCCAAAGTTTTCCACAACAATTGACTGAACTCAAGACTCAAGTGAACTGCGGCTGCATAGTGGCATTGCAGGGATGGATATCTACTCCGGCTGGAAGTTCATTTATAGTCATATGCCAAAGGTCAAGAAGAGAAGTCTCTCAAGTTACTCGATCGGTGCTGTTATTCAATTCAAACATTTCAAACCTGCGTTACCGAAGAGCGCCATGAAAACACAACGACTTGTTGAAATATCAAGTCTCATCAGTCATCACACATAAAGTAGAGAGGGTTCGCGTGTTCACCAGGATGTAAAACAAGGATGTATTTATTAAACATCTATGTCGTGTAGTGTTTTTGTCTGACGGTGAATCCAGCTTGAAAGTCTTGAAACACGATTATGTCTTCGTCGTAACAAAATGTTTGTCTGACAGGCAATCATGCCTAAAAAACGATTTGGTATCAAATGTGTTTGTGGGTTGGATAGTCTCTATCTCTACTGTTGTGGACCGTGGTCTGTTGTCAGGGACATGTTCGTCTCTCTCGAAAATATTGTTTTATATTGTCATATTGTGTAGTTTTGGGTCGATTCGTTACACATAATTTCTAGGAATCTATTTATCTAAAAATGTGGGCGTTCTAGATACTTTCCGCCATCAATAAGAGTGTCAGTGGCTACAGGCACGGTTGAGCCTTCTCAACAGTAGGCACTTATAGACCATTGCTTTGTGTATGTGATGTTCCACACATAATTTCTAGTTGTCTTGTTGAGTTATACATATATCTGATATTTTGTATCATATTTATTTATATTTGTTTATTTATTTATTTGTATTTTGAAATTTTTCTATTGCATCTTATTTTCTATTGTGAAAAGTTATACAAGCCTCATGCATTGATACTGCGATTGAACCTTGTCACAATAACAGCTGTGTGACATGTGATCCGCTGCCAAAAAGTACAGACAGCAAAAAGGTTAATCTTCTGTTCATGTGAGGTGTTGCCACCTCTGGTGAAAAAAATTAATAGGGTGCCTGCTGTAGTTATTAGAAACTTAACATTAAATTTAGGGATGTAACGATACATATTTTTGCCGATACGATACCGATACCGATTTTAAAGAAAAATAATCGGCGATACCGATACAGATACCGATATTGATGGGTTAGTAGTTAAGCGTTTTGTGTATGTTAAACAAATTTGAAGGAAGTTGATAAAATATTGACACTACAAATACCTAGACGTACATCTGTCTCTCTTCAAAGTTATTTATTTCCTAAGCATGAAATACCAAAAATAATTTAAAAAAAGGAATTAGAATCATCGTTTATTAGTTTTAAATAAAATCAATCACATATTTGAGGGGTATAGTATCAAAGGCAGCTAAATCCGTATGAAATTATTTTCCACAAATCGAAAAAAACTGTTATTTTATATTTATTTGGCAACACCGTAAACATGATTGTTTGACAGGATGCTCTAGTACAAAATAAATAGGTGTACCAACAAAAGTATCTTGTAAGAGGGGGATTTATGGGCTATTTTAAATAATTTGTGTTGGACATAGCTGTGTTTGATACCAACTATTGGATTTAGCTGTCTTTGATTCTGACAAATATGGATAAAGCTGCCTTTGATTGCAACACAATCGATGACGTCACGATGCTAGTGATGTACGCATAACAACAGAAACATCGCATGGTGTGGATAATGGTATGTTGAATGAAAATAGAAATTGCATTCAATGTTATTTCTATTATTATAAGATATGGTACATAAGTTTGATTAATACATATAAATGAGAAAGTAACAGTCTGTCTATTCAAAAACCAGAATATGAAAAATCAACTTTATTTGTTTGTAATAATTTTGTAATAGATAGAAAGATAATTATAATGAAGTGAAAGGGAAGGATTCCAATGAAGGTAATAATTTTATTGTTATATCCTTAACGTAACATCTTCGACTCTCTCACAAGTTTCTTCTTCTATGTCATTTGTTTCATTTTCTCCGTTCTCTTCTAAAAGCTGTATTTCTTCTTCGTCTATGTTAAATAAAACATTCTTATAGTATTCCAAATAAGGTAACTCCTTCCAGTTTTCACCATAGTGCTTTAGTAGTAAATTTCTCACATCTCTGAGCTTAAGTGGTTTTACATCTATGCCTTTTGAAATTGTAGACGGTTGTATCAGTTCTGCTTTTTTTCCTTTTCGGCAAAAAGTCCTGGGAGCACCTGTGTCAGAATTATAAAACAATTCCCCACGAATCATAACATCTCCCTGCTTTTTGGTCCGTCGAATAATGATACGCTTGCACTGCGATATCTTAAAATGAAGCTGGGCTGGTGTTTTGACTATGTTCTGTATAGAGGTTTTCCAGTCAAGAAAATCTATCTCATCAAGTTTTGTGACTGTTGCGCATTCGCTAATAATATCTGTATAATCTGAAGGCTGTGTTATCACTTCAAGTTTGCGAATTCTTTTTTCTATATTCCCAAACACGCGATCCGCTGGCATAAATGAGTGTCCGGTAATGGGAAATACAAGTTCTATTTTTTTTATATGCGGATGCTGCAAAATCCACCGTGAGCACATAGATACCATCACAAGATTTTTATTTTGTCCAGCGCACCCGTCTGCTACTAAACGTAAGTGAGTAATATTCGTCAAATCACTTTTGTTTAATCTATCGTAAACAGCGGAGGCTATCTGATTTGCACCTTTTGCGTATTCATCTTCAGTCCACACATATGAAAATGTTGTGTTTTTATTTAATGGGTCTTTGGATCCTCCTTGAACAATTGTGAAATTGTACTGTCTGCTGTAGTAACAGCTTTGATCAGGCACTTTTGGCAGGACCAGGTTTTTCTGACAGTCAAATAAAAAGTTGCCATTTGGTCTTTTTTTTCTCGTAGAAGTTTAAAAAATGCTTGTGATTTTAGTTTGTGAACTCTTTGTTCAATTATAAGCTGATTTTTTTTCGATACATCTTTTTCTGCTTTTATTTTTTCCTGGAATTCAATACATCTAGAACATACATCAGTCCTAGGACTACCAAAACCTAAATTAAAGTCTTCATTAAAAATTGCTCTGAAATACGATTGTTTGACTGGGCTGTTGGGGTTCTTTTCGATAAACATTTTGTACAACTTTTTTATGTTAAGTTCACTGGGTAGGTATTTTCGTTGAGTCGTTGTCCCTCGGCAGTAATGAGCTCCAACACATTTAAGGGACTTTATAAAGGAATACACGGCTTGTCTTTGTGTTGAATATTTCTTGTATTTATGGACACCGCCCCGTTTTTCGTTCGGAAGTATACCATTCGCAAAGAAATTTCTCATTACATACTGGACGCGATATTTTGTGATTCCAAGAGTATTTAAAAATACTTTTTGGCAAACTGGTATGATTTTTTTATTTTTTGTATATATTGTATACTTTATAGCAAAGTCTGCCTTTTCTCACATTTTTGGTCGGTCGCTTTCTGTTAGTTTTATTTACCGAACAACATTTTAATATGAGCGCGTCCTGATTTTTTTTTATCGGTGTAGCATAAAAAGCTCGGTGGAAATCGAGTTGATCTTTAACGCGAAGGTTTTTGCATCCAAAACTTTTGCTATTGTGATTGCAGGTAATTTTACCAGGCAACGACTGCGACGAGTACCTAGGACAAAATTGAAAATAAATTAAAATGCTTGAACAATATCAACAATTTTATCGAATTTGCATTACAGTGCGCACATCACTAGTCTGTACTTACCTTTCAATTTTCGCCCTGTTTGCTTTCCATTTCTCTGGCTCTCTCTTGCGTTTTCTTCCTCTCCCGTGTATAGCTTCTGTTACTGGCACTTCCATTACACTGTTAGCTTTACTTTAAACTTTTTTTTTGTAATGGAATTGTCCAAAAAACCACTGAATTTCAATAAAATCGACAGACGCAGACGCACGTTTTTATATGTAAGACGCCATATTGAAAAAACGTAAAAAGATCGCTCTGATTGGCCAGCCGCGACTTTAGCTGTATTTGTTTCTCAGCAATAGAGATATAGCTATCTTTGATTCTAATGCAGCTTTTTGACACTGATTTTCTATAAGATTTAGCTACTTTTGATAAGAAAGAAAATATATATAAAATTGGTCTAATATAATAGCTATAAAATTGGTCAGAAAATAAAATGACATTCATAGTTTAAAACAGACCAGAGTGTGCCCCTCACATAATAAATAACATTAATCATATTGTTAAAATGAGACATTGTAATAAAAATAATAATAATTCTAATTCTACAAGTAACTATTTATATGTACAGGGAATCATAAAATTTAAATCTTAAATATAATAACACCTAAAGACATACACTACTTCACTTAACATCTATTAAAATTGACCACTTAACAAACAAAATAAATTGACTACTTCTAAAATAAACAATTATAACAAAATAAAGAAAATGACAAACCATAATTATGAGATCACAAAAATCTATTACAATGTAATATATGAACTTATGTGTAATAATACTCTAATGAGATCACTCGTATTTCCAGAAAATATATCTATACGGCTATGAACCTCATTCACCATGCGAATGGTTCGTGTGAGCGGGGTCTTGGCCAGCAGTTTGGTCCTGGCCAAAGAGTATAGTAATATATAGGGTAAAGAGAGCCCTCTCTGGGCAATTTAAAGCAAACCTCTTTGAACGCCAGCGACATCTGAACATTGGCCCTGGAAACTATGCCCGGCTTACAACTTGAATACTACCTACTTATTAGTTTATTAATTTGAAAGTATATTATGTTCTAGCAGCTATATTGCTACGACATAATATACTTACAAATTAACAAACTAATTAAAGCAATCCACCTATTTTAGAGCCGTTATTTAATTTTGCCCTAATATTTAACAGATTTACTAAAAACTTAAGGAGTAATAATTAAAACAATAGGGTGGAAAAATAAAACAATGCTTAAAAATTATTTAGCAATTATTTTTTTATTTTTATAGTGCTTGTGTTTTTTATAATATTCTTGCGCAGCAATCTTAAATTCGTCATCACCATTATACGACAATTTTCCCGACAAAATTCGATTAACCGATCTACACCAGCTGTATAAAATAACATTTATTGTGGTGTTCATCAAGTATTTTTTTTAATTCTTCTTTATGCTTCATGCAGTTAAATGGAAAATTAACCATTACATCTGCTACTAATATAATATTTTGTTTAATTTTCTTTTCTGGTACACTTTTTTTAAAAATGAGACTATTATTTTTTGTAGGTCATGAAAAGTATTTTCTAGTTCTTCACTAGGATAGCATAACCATTTTTTATTGTTATATTCTTTAGCTTTTATAAAAGCACTATTTCGACATTTACAGCGCTTTGGTCACATACCGTATTCATTATTATAAGACCCGACCTTTGAGCATGGTTTATGACGTCAATAATAATATTTTTTAGCTCTCCTTTGTTTAGACCGGTTATAAAATAATAAGCTATAGGCTGTTTGAAGTTTTGTTTTATTCCTTTGACCATAAAAACCAAAACATGGTCAGCAATTTTTTTATATTTATTTGATGGCAAGGCCTTCCAAAATATCTTGCTGAGCATTATAATTCACTTGAGGTGTCAAGGACATCTCGTCAAATATTAGTGAACACAACCGGTCATTTTCATGTCTTTCCGACATAGGTTTTTTAATTCTTTCGAACACTATAGGAACAATTCCTTGGTGTATTTTTACAGTGCTCAAAAGACGCTTCATACATTTGCTTGAAAGCAAAGTAAAGAGTTTACTTAATAGACTATATGCCTTAGGACTTTTTTTGTATAGTGACAAAGAAAGCACCTTTTCATTATGCGTAAAGCGACGTCCTTTTGGTTTCTTTGATGCCTGCAGTTGCATTTGGAGAAACAATCGGGCCGGTTTATCTAAAATCTTTGCGAAATGATCCATAGCCATTTTGCTGGATACCACTTCCGCTCCATTTAATGTTGATTTAAAAAACTGGTTCTTCTTGCGTTGGCGTGATACTTCCGCCTGGAGAAACTTGATCTTCTTGCGCAATGGACCCATTAGATCTGTGAAAAGATAACACTAGGCAACAAAAAAAAGTTTTATTTTTTCCCAGAGATCTGATTATGTAATTCGGAATCACCATGCTGTAGGGAACTTAGAACAGTAAATAAAATATCTCAGTCACGTATAGTTTTTAAGAGAAATTTATTTTTAATTTTAAAATTTTTGATATCTATTTTGAAGTAAATATATTATTTTGACATAAAAAATAAACTTGTTTTTGTTCTTTTGGCTTGTCTCTTGTAAGAAGAGGTTGGAGTCTCTCTAACTAAAAACCAACAGTAGTCTGCAAGCATTGCAGTGGTCCATTTCCCCTGGTAACGCTTTTCTATTGAAGCGATTTCTTGGTGAAAGCGCTCACCGTGCTCATCACTCACAGCACCGAGATTTTCTTTAAAAAAATCTAGGTGCGAGTGCAGAAAGTGTGTCTTTAAGGACATATTGCAACCCAATTCTTTATAAGCATTTAACATTTGATTTATAAGGTTTTCATATTGAGGCGATCGTTTGTTTCCCAAAAAATTTTCTGTGACTTCAACAAATGCCAACCAAGCATTCTTTTCTTTATCGTTTAAGCTAGAAATGAACAACAGATCTTTAATTAATTTTCTAATGTCTGGGCCAATAAAAACACCTTCTTTTAATTTTGCATCACTTAAAGCAGGAAATTTTTCTTTTAGGAACTTAAAGCCTGAGCCATCTTTGTTCATTGCTTTCACAAAGTTTTTGATTAACCCTAGTTTAATATGTAATGGTGGTAAAAGTACTTTTTTTGGATCTACTAATGGGTAATTTTTGACATTTTTCTGACCTGGATCATAAGAAGTTCTCAGTGGCCAAGTTTTTCTAACATAATGCTCAGCTCTTGCACGGCTATCCCACTCACATAAAAAACAACAGTATTTTGTGTACCCAGTTTGCAATCCTAAAAGTAAAGCAACCACTTTTAAGTCAGCACATATTGCCCAATGATGTTTACTATATTCTATTTTATTCAATAAATGCTTTAAGACGTCGTAAGTTTCTTTAAAATGAGCACCATGCGCCACTGGAATGGATGGATATTGGTTTCCGTTGTGAAGAAGCACGGCTTTCAAGCTAGTTTTAGATGAATCTATAAACAGCCTCCATTCATCTGGTGAATGCTGGTGATCCAATTTAGCCAATAAACCAACAACATCGTTGCAATAAATTAAATCTCCATCTTTAGAATAGAAATTAACGTAAGAAACATGTCGTTTACGGTATGCAGTAACGCGAACGTCGTGTTGAAGCAGATTCCATTGTTTTAATCTTGAACCTAACAGTTCAGATTTTTCCTTAGGCAAGTCCAAGTCTCTAACAAGGTCGTCGAGCTCAGCTTGGTTGATCAAATGTGGTGATTCAGACGTACTTTCCACTTGAATGTCCTCAAATTCATCATCAGAACCTGAAGTGGTACTTGAGTGTTCAACGTGACTTGGAGGCGTAGGTACTGGAAGATCTTCCGAATGAGGTATTGGTTTTGTCACAGAAGACACCTCTGGGTAATTTACTGTGTGCTTTGATTTCTTAGAAAATCCTTTGACATCCGTAAGACAAAAATAACAGTCACTCACATGATCCTTAGGGGCAACGCAAATAGAAGACGGCGAGACGAAGGTACGGTACAGACACGGCGCAGATACGGTGCAGGCGCGATATCTGCGCAAACAGACGCGGGGACGATACGGCAAGTTAAGTCATTATAGAGCGTGATATTGACGGGATAAGACATGTATTCCTCTTCAGACGAAGATGAAGATGCACTGGCTTTGCTACAGATTATTAATTTACAGCAAAGACCAAGAAGGTATTGGATACATCCAGTGTGGAGAAATGCAGAAGAGCACAGGTACTATAAAATAATGGAAACATTATATGAATATCCTGATCGTTTTCGCACAGTTTATAAAATGTCACTGGAATGTTACCATATCGTATTGTCAAAAGTAAGAGAAGGACTTCGGAAGCAAGTTACAAATTGGAGAAAACCAATCAGCCCTGAAGAAAGACTACTGATAACTTTAAGGTAAGTGAAACTATTTTTTACAGATCAAACTTTTATTGACAAATCAAAAGATAATATTCATTGAAAATGTTTTTGGTTTAGCATCTTTGCTACAATTAGTATTTATAAATTGCTCTCAGTGTTACAGCTAATTTGAGTATCTGTCAAGCTGTCATCATGTGCTGTCCTTATCTCACAATACAGAATCAGCGCATGCGGACAGGGACAGCACATGACTACTCAAGCTAGCTGTCGCACTAAGAGCCATTTATAAATAAAGTTCAAGGCATTGGATAGTTCTCATTAAAATCATTTATTTCGTCTTCATGAGATTGGATAGATTCGGGTGAGGTGTAGCTGGAGTTATTGGTGAAAATATTGGCAAACATAATGTAGTTGGAGTTGCCGGAGGTGCTAAGGATTGTGCTCTTTCATAAGCTCCCGGTGTCCGCGTTTGCTGATATTCTGAAATGCTGAGTTGATAATAAGCTTTCTCATCATAAGTTCGGTGTCTTGAAGGCCCAGCTATTTGTTCAATTACAGCCACTGCCGCCGGTGGTGCTGGATTTATATACTCTCCGGATATCAAAGTCAGCTGAGTTTCCGGATTTTTGTTAGCTGCTGCAGTATGTTTAGCTGTCTGCTGAGTCGAGGTAAACGAAGGTGCTAGACTTGTATTAGCTCTGGATGTAAGAGTCTGCTGGGTTGCACCTTCATTAGGATCATAATCTGTCTCTCGAGAAGGTGTTCGTGGATAATACGGCTGTGTCCTAGGATAACTAGGTACTGGGTCATTTAAAATTTGCTCTGATAAATTGAGAACGCCCATTTTAAATCTTCGTTTTTGGGCTGGTGTCATTGATTTCATATCTGGAAGCATGCTTTGAAAAAAAGCTAGATCGCTGTCTGTTTCAGGCTCAGCCCTATGTATGGTCTTCATTTGTAATGCTCTTTGACTGAAATATTCATGTGCTGATTTATTAACATCTTTTAAAGAGATTGCCCTAGATGTTGCCCTAGATGTAGGCGGTGTTGGCGTGGATTGATTGGAGATGGAATCCGAATTTGTGTGTTGCAATGTGTGTGTTGCATAACGTAATTCGCACATGTGATGGTAAAAAATCAAATCCACGGTTTAGAAATAATTTGATAGGAGCAAACATTAACATGCGATTAATGGGAGAAAATCCCTACCATATCAGGGAATATCTTACAACATATCTAACACAACGACCTCCGATTCCGTTTCAGACGAGACATAATGTTTAAAATTTAAATAAAATACATACCTGTTGCACCGACTTTTATTGCTATTTCTTGCCATATTTTGTCTTGCACATTTCTGTTACTGTACCCTGTCTTAGTGTAGTCATAGATATTCGGGTATTGCTCAATTAACTCGCAAAACTCAATATTAAACTCAATATCGTCACGCATCCTGTATACGAAGCGACGTGCGTCTTGCGTTATCTTTTGTTCGTGACTGAAGGCGGCAAGCGGACGGCGCAGGCACGCCGCTCCTCGCCCCCCGCCACGTCGCCAGCAGATGTAGGCGCAAGCCATAGTATAAAGAACAAAGTAGGTTATCTTCATACAAATGCTCCGCGCGCGGCTTATATGTGTGCGCCATAGTATCTATGCGTCGACGCACGCACACTTTAACAAAATCTCGACCCGTTTCTCAGTGCGCCAGGTAGGGCTAACACTGCACGAGGTTCGCGCCCGCATCACTTTTCGGCACTGTTCAATGAAATAAAAAATGTCTGATAACCGTAGAAGAACGTATTGCTGTGTGTTTGGGTGTCTTTATAATTAATCGATTCCAGAACTGTCTCTGTTCAGATTAAGTACCTATTGAACAGGAAAGGTAAGCTAGTCACTTTTTCTAGCATAATATAATTTGTAGGTACTTGATGATGATACCTACTTACTTATTCTTACTCTTATCATTCTTCATAGTTCCTACTCAACCAGAAAGAAGAATTACCTACTAACTACTATACTTAAATATTATAAGAAAATGTGGTATTGTATTGTTTATTTCACAGTTTATCTGATTTGTTAAGAGCGTGGCCGTGTCGCATTTTTCCATATAAATGTATTCCCAAATTTACTTTCTGAATACTATGTATAGAGCTAAAGTTTATTTTAAGAAGTTAATAATCTTTTTATAAGCTTTTTATTTTTACTAAATTTATAAATTGATAAAATATTCAATCATAATATGCTTTTCATTTCATAAATTTAGATCAAGTGCTGCTTGTTCGAAAATATTAACTAAAAGTAAAAGTGACAACCCTGGGGATCAACGCAAGAGTAGGCTAATAACTCGGCGGGCGGCCTTAGATAACCTACTGTGTTCTTTATACTATGCGCAAGCGGCGTCTCGCATTATATACAGTATGAACAAAGATAGGTAGCGATATATTTTAAACTGTTCAAATTTTCGTCCATATGGATATTTGAAGGCTGATTTTAATGAAAATCCGATGTAATTTAACTTATTATGATTTGATTTATGTATTTCGATGTTATTCGTATTTTAAAGTAGTTAAATAGCAAACATAGCGGTTACATATTGCAAACATAAGTACAGTCGACAGCACATCAAGCTATACAGTTTGACCTTGAGCACGCCTTTATTGCACTTGTAATAGTGGCGGCTTTCGTAGCGCAATGTTACACTTGATGTGCTCTCGACTGTACATAGGAATTATAATGATACAAAAGGAGGAAATTAGTATTCGAAAAAAAAGAAGGAGGTGTATTAAATGTTATTTCCACTAAATAGCACCTTGTATAATAATACTCTGTGCCGTACCGTCCCCGCGTCTGTTTGCGCAGATATCGCGCCTGCACCGTATCTGCGCCGTGTCTGTACCGTACCTTCGTCTCGCCGTCTTCTATTTGCGTTGCCCCTTAGGTTCTCGCCAAATCATAGGTTGACCAAAAGGCATCTTTGTTGGTTTCCCATTGAACCAGTTAGTCAAATTCTTGTGACATGAGTAACAGCACATATGTGGCAACCAATATTTGTCTTGGTTGCGAATATCTAAACCAAAATATGCACGATAGCACTTAGTAATCAAAGGCGTTATGCGTTTTTTTTTACTCTTCGGCGAATATAAACCGCAAATAAAACAAAATAAATCCGGAGAATTGACACAACGGCGAGACATGGTGAAAGAACGAAGTGTATATTGTTACTTCAAAATATTATTGCGATCGTTTCTACGAAAAATTTCGAGCTACCCTCTTATATTGATACAAAAAGTGACAATTTAAAAAAAAACTAAAATCTCATTTTCTATACGTGATAGAAATAAATTATTATTTTTATGATATTAGGTGAATGATTATCTACAAAATATGATATGTATTTCCCCCGGGAAATTTTGACTGTTGACTAGTGTAATTTATATGTGATAATTCGAACTACATAAGTAAAAAGTTAACTTTTACATTATGAGATATTGTGCAACAAACAATTTACATTTGATAAATTTGATAAAATCTACTATCTACACTATTGTTGAGAATGTGTAGTTGTTTATTGTCAGCTTTAAGTTGTTGGGAATATCTGTTGAAAACATTTTTAAGCCTACTTAAACTCACAAGAAATTTCCAGTTTTAATATCTAAAATAGGTATTAAAACGAATGATTGCCATCACACTGCCTATAGTACAAAAAATATTTTAAATAATAGCTGAACAATACCTTTCCCAACTGTTCTTCGAGGCTTGCTTAAAACACTATAATTATGTTCTAACAGCCAGTTTGATGCAGAATTCCTTTGCAGAGATGTGCCTGAAATTGCAAATTTATTACAATGAATTGTGAGAAACACACATGAAGATATTTGCACATTTATAATAAAATATTAGTGACATAAACTTTGCTCGCGGCTCAGCTTCCGTGGACCTAACATATTTCCCAGGATAAAAAGCCTGTCACTCCCTGAAAACTAAGCTTTGTAATGGTAAGAGTTTTTCAAATCGGTCCAGTAGTTTCTAAGCCTATTCAATACCAACAAACATACGGGTGAATTTCAACAAGAGATTTTTATGTATCATTTCGGTGGGATTTTTTTATTTCAATGCAATCTATATATTTTTAGTGACAAATAATACTTTAGTCTATTTTATAACATTGTGCGTGAGTGGACATCAAATATTATCAAAACTTACATATATATTTAAGGATAAAGTTTTAAGAGTCCACTGAAATTAAAAGTGTCCACCGAAATGATAAAAATTACCACCGAAATGATAAATCCACCGAAATGATACAGCTAAGAACAACCGTGCCCCCAGCCAGGGTTCCGTACTTTGTTAGGTTTGATTTCCACAAATTTTAGATCTTTGAGGTTACAATAACCTCAAAGAATGATATTAATGTAATGTAATGTTTATTATAATATGAATGAATAGTTTCTTTACTTTTATAACCTTTGGTAATTTTTGTGGTTGTTGTTGTGTGAAAATGTTGGAAAACTTTATCGTAAATGCTGGTAACCTTAAATAAATATTTTTGCTTGTTTATGTACTAATACTAATTTACTTGATATATTTTCAAAAGAATCAACGTATCGCGATTAGAAAGGTTAAAGTTTCTGATTAATATGATGGTTGCATTTGTAAGTTATGCCATTAATAGTAATACCTAATGTCTACCTATTGCACTAAGAGAAAAATGCTAGGTATAATTTAGTTAAATTGGTAACGAGAGGAGAATAGTGTTTCTACAGGTATATCAGTAAAACTTCTAAAATTAAATCAACTCTTATATTTTTAAAATACAATAAATGAATAAGAAACATTATAAAAATATCTTAGTAGTAATAGCTTAGTACTTTTAATCCTTTTACATAAACGTATGAAACATAACAGAAACCTGAGATTGAGATCACTTTATTCTTAAATTACTACAACAATAGATAAACGTACATATCTAAATAGAACAAAAAACAACAAAGTTTTGTTCTACCTATGAAAGAAAGAAAGAAAGAAAAATAATTTATTTGGTACAACACCAGGCACAAACACAATACAATAAATACAATGCAAACAAAAAATTAGGAGTGAAATAAAAAAAATTAAAAAAAAAGAAAAACAAAAATAGATGTAGGTATATACAAAAATTTAAAAGTCAAATATACCAACAATAATAATCATGTGCCCGACAGCTGCACCAAAAAAGGTCCAGTTCAGCATACATGCCAGACATCTAGTGCCTGACGCTGGTTTTCAACTGAACCTGTGGCAGCGACGCAACGGACGTAAAGCAGTAAATGCAGAGTAGCGTGTGAAGTGTATTATAAAATTATTAAGTAATTTATATAGATATACCATAATACATACATACATATAATAATAGGGTATAGTAATTACACAAAAAATATTTATTAAATATGATTAAAATTATATTGCGTGTGTATGAACAGAATGCACGGGTACATTATATAATTGAGGTATTCTGCACCACCATATCAAGCCTTCGCTGTGTATCGATGAGGTATTTTCGCAAGCGTCTTCTAAATGCACCCATTGTATTTGCCCCTCTAATAGGTGGTGGGAGGTTATTCCACACTTTGGAAGCTGCATAGCGAAAGCTGCCCCTAAAAGCGGCTGTACCATATGACTCGGTCGTGAGTTGCTGTGAACATTGCCTTCTTTCACATTCCCGCCGGCCCGCAAGCCATTTTAGTTTTTTAAATAAGTAGTCCGGTTTCTGGTATTTAACTACACCAAATAAAAGGCAGGCCGGATGCAGCTTGCGTCTGGATTTCATTTTTAATATGAAGTGTTCGTTCAGATATGGTGTTACATGGGTTCTGCAAGGAATGTTGTAACAGAAACGAGCGCAAGCATTTTGGACCCTTTGAATGAGCCGATCTGTACGTGCTAACAGGCGTGGACCATACACCGTGTCTACGTAGTTTAACCTAGACAGAACTAAGGTCTCTATCAGCCGCTCCCGTAATTCCACTGACAGGTACGGTCGCATTCTGTATAAGACCTTCAGGCGATAGAAACAATTTCTAACAGACTCTGCCACATGTCTCTCAAAACGCAAGTCCTTATCCATTACCAGCCCCAAATTTTTTGCCTCATACACTCGCTCAATTTGCTCGCCCATTAATCTCAGGTCAAATGATGGAGGTAGCTTTGCAAGCTGTTGTCTTGAACCAAATACCAAATATTTGGTTTTTGTTGGATTCAATGACAAGCAGTGCTCCTCAGACCAGGTGGCAATTTTGTGTAGGTCATCGTTAAGATCCTTAATGGCATCATAGTACTCATCTGGACGGAAAGATATATAAACCTGGACATCATCGGCGTATATGTGGTATTTACATTTATGGATGCATTTAATTATATCTGCACAATAGAGAATAAAAATAATCGGACCCAAGATGGAGCCCTGAGGGACTCCTCTCTCTACTGTCATATAAGACGATCTAAGAGTAGTGCCATCACTCAGACGCAAATCGACAAATTGCTTCCTATTCGTGAGGTAGCTGCGGAACCACTGCACGGCACTAGGCGCGAAACCGTAATAACTCAACTTGGACAATAATAGGGGAATATTTATTGCGTCAAATGCGCGGGAAAAATCCAGCAAGACAAGCACTGTACACATTCCCTGATCCTGAGCCACCTGAATATTATCCGTAACGTCCAGCAAAGCAGTAGACGTACTGCGTTGCCTCCTAAACCCAGATTGTAAGTCAGGTAGAATACTATTCTGTTCCAAAAATTGAGTCAACTGTTGACTAACGACTTTCTCCAACAGCTTGGACAAACACGGCAAAATGCTAATAGGACGTAGATCTTTCAATTCAGTTGGGTTTAAATTTTTCGGTAATGGCCTAACTGAAGCAATTTTCCATTGCTCCGGAACCGTTGAAGTCTCAATGGAACAGTTAATTATTTGAGTTATAACGTTTAATGAGTGCGGTAGTGTCATATTTATCATGTCCAAAGTGATATTGTCGTGGCCCTCAGCGTTGCTCTTAAGATTTGTGGCAATTCGTGTGACGACATTCGGTTCTACTGGACTGATAGAGAAAGTAGCTTCACCGTATTTATTTTTCTCATAAAACGTCATCAGTGACTCGTTGGCTGTAAGGTTACCAGGCACTATCAAAAAATTTTTGCTAATTTGGTCAGGATTTGTGAATTGAGAGGGTAGATCTTGAATAGTTTTGAACGGCAACAAAGTAGATTTCAAATTTTTCCATAATAATTTTGGGTTTTTAATTTTATTATTTATATTATGCTTGAAGTACGCAACTTTTTCACTATGCAATGACTTAACCACTAGGCGTTTTAGTTCCTTATAGTATTTAATTTTAGACTCTGTTTTATTTTTCCTACAAGCACTTAGTG